TGGAAGACACCTATGCGATTCACTCGGTGTTTACCAGCAAGTTCACCTTTTAGCCGCAGTCCCTTTTGCACTGTAGTTGAAGTCCCCAATCCGTGCTGTCCCAGCACCACAGGACGCATTCTCGGAGGATTTCAGTCCCAACCCCGTGCGTGCGCAATGGATGGGGATGTTACGGGGGCTTTCAGGCTGGCATTTTTGAGAGCTGTGTGTGTTACTGTGTGCTTTTGTCTGAAAAAAAGATGATGCTAATGACCTGCCTCAGTTCGTACAAGGACGCTGATGATGTTTATGAGAAGGTCATTACTTTTGTCTAAAGTGTTAACCTAAAGTGTTAACTATTGCATATGTCCTAACCGTGGCTCAGTTTTGTTAGGTAATATATAAGCACGAAATAGTCAACCTGGCCCAAGAAAACTACAGTCTAAGTGGGGAGAAAAATATACTAAAATAAATAAATTTATTTTATAGGACAGTGAACTATATTGTTTGATTCTGTGCAAATCTACGCTTTAGCCTCCGAGCCTGCAAGACTAAGACTGTTCCTGTGGTACCACGTGCCATGGCAAGGTTCTTTTCCATCTGTACCTGCAAGTCAACGGGTGCGAAGGATGGAGAATGAGGCCAAGGTCTGGCTGGACACTGTCTCCAGAAAAGGGAATTCTGCCCTCTACCTACTGAGGCTGCTTTGCATTCTGTGTGCTGGCACACCTTGGTGGCCATCCATTCATCCAGACTTGAGGAAAACGTGTTTGGGCTATACGAAATGTGTTAGTTTTTTAACCAGTTGGCCTGTGTTTTTAAAAAACTTTAATCATGTAAACAAAACAGCATTTTTTTCATTTTTTTTTTTTTTTAAGCAGAGCCAAGTAAAGAAAGCCAAGAGGCTTAAGAGCTTGCTGATACCGCTGTGTTTCCGATTACATCTGCTGATGAAGAGGGCTCAGGTTGCGCATCGCTTCCAGGCTACTCCTCGGACAGCCACCTACAGGCTCGTGTGTCCAGGCGTTCCTTCCTACGCACGCACTCCCCCGCGCATCCCTGGCAGTTGGTCAAACGGAGCCAAAGCCTTAGGGCTGGTGCTCCATGAGCTCACCCTCACCCCTGAGGCAAGAGGCTGGAGCAGCAGAGCTCGGCGCAGCTGAGGGGACCGGTCCTCACTGCTGCAGACGGCAGCATCACACCGGGCAGCCTTTACCGACAGAGGCCCGGGCACCAAACACACGGGCCCCACAGCGCGTCGGCACATTCCGTGCCTAAGCAGCCCCGTGTGTGCATGGAACTAGAGTCTCTCTGCAGTTAGCAACGGTACTTGTCTTCAAGGTTGTAACGCTGAACAGCACCTTATAGCTCCTTCCTGAATTTACCTCCCTCTCTTGTATGCCATTAAGCAGGACGCTGTTTTTAAAACAGATTTTCATAGAACCAAATCATAGAATGGTTTAGGTTTGAAGGGACCTTGAAGATCATCAAGTTCCATGTCTTCCTCATATCTAGTCTGAATCTATGCTCTTTTACCTTAAAACCATTACTCCTTGTCCTATCTCAACAGACCCTGCTAAAAAGTCCCTCCCCGCCTCTCCTGTAGCCCCTTTAGGCACTGGAAGGGGCTCTGAGGTCTGCGCGGAGCCTTCTCTTCTCCAGGCTGAACCTGGGGATGCAGCCCGGGATGCCGGGGGCTCGCTGGGCTGCCGGCGCACATTGCCGGCTCCTGGCCAGCTTTTCCCCCCCCGGCACCCCCGAGCCCTTCTCGGCAGGGCTGCTCTCCATCCCTCCATCCCCAGCCTGTGCCGGGACCGGGGGCTGCCCCCACCCCGCAGCAGGACCCCGCGCGTGGCCCGGCTCACCCCCGTCACCTTCACACGGGGCCACCTCTCAGCCTGTCCCGGTCCCTCTGGATGCCATCCCGTCCCCAGGCATGTCAACTGGACCACTCAGCTCGGTGTCATCTGCAACCTTGCTGCTGGTGCACTCCATCCCACTGTCTATGTCACTGATAAGGATATTAAACAGTACTGGTCCCAGTGTGGACCCTTGAGGGACACCACTGGTCACTGATCTGGACATTGAGCCATTGACCACTACCCTCTGGATGCCACCATCCAACCAATTCCTCGTCCACCATACATTCACCCACCAAACCCATCTCTTGCCAATTTAGAGAGAAGGGTGTTCTGGGGGACCGTGTCAAAAGCCTTACAGAAGTCCAGACAAACAACATCTGTAGCTCTTCCCTCGTCCACTGGTGTAGTCACTCCATCACAGAAGGCGATGAGGCTGGTCAGGCCGGACGTGCCCTCGGTGAAGCCGTGTTATGCTGGTTGTCTCGACTCGCATCCCTGTCCTCCATGTGCCTCAGACCAGCTTCTAGACTATAGGTGTCGGTGACGAATGTGGTAACTAAACCACCGTATCCTACACGTATCATCTCGCATGTTGAGCCCCATTTCCTTTCCCCACTATTACAGCTTCTGTGGAGCAGAAATCTCTACTCTCCTCCCTCCCCCGCCAAGAGTGAGTCTGCTACTCCCAAAATGAGGAGTCCCCTTCAAACTACGTAAAGATGGAGCTAATAGTCACTGGTTTCGGTTCTCTTCCTCCCCTTTCAGCATAGATGCCAGTTTTCTACCAAATTTACGTGAGTAGCACATGCTCATCTCGACACTCCTGTAGCTGCCATTGATTTAGGTGATCCCTAATTTCTGCACACAAAAAAGCAAAGAAAATTACTAGTATGTTTGGTAGTTTACAGAATGACTAATAATCAGAACCAAAGCGTTGATATAGAAATTGCAGACTTCACACAGGGCAAACAACATTAACTAAAGGCTCTAAAATGTAAAGTAAACTTTATTATCCTTGAACCACAAAATAGATTTCTTTGGTTGTACAAATTTCACTAGTTACAGTCTTGATGCGCTAATTTTCCCTCAGAGTCTCTCAGGAGAGAATGGGAGAGAACCCAGAGCCTGGCACCAGGTACCGCAAAGGGAAAGAAAAAAAAAAGAATCACAAGTTAGTCACCAAAACCAATCCAGGATTGTTTCCAAAACTGCTGTTGTTAAAAAGCAAACGCTAAAATTAGATTTAAAAAGGAAAAGCTCAAATTGCTGATGATGGAAGCAGCCATAGCTGCGTTTTGAGATTATCAGAGTTCCCCCTTCAAAGCTCTGTAAAATTAAACCATACGAAGTCAGTTAAAACGATCCACTGGATTTTGGCATGAAGGGAGATTCTCAACTAAAAGAAACCGCGTCCAGTTCTTTCACTCAGCAAATATACAAGCAGAAGTGCCTGTCGCTCCCGAGCCGCTTCGAGTCACTGAGAGGCTTAAGGTCCCACTCTGGTCTTACTGCTGGAGGGGTTCCGCAGAGAGCACCAATGTGTCGGGGTAGACAGATCAGATTACTGCCGAGCTCAGGTGCCTTCTCCATATTTGAGGCATTTTTAAAGAAAAAAAAAAAAAAAAGAAAAAAAGAGAAGGGATGTTTACTTCAGTAGTGGGCAGTAGAGCAGCAGAGACTGATTTCAGAGCTATAGGCAGCATCTGTCTCCTCCGCATCTGCAGAGCTCACTCGATACAGAATCTGTTCGCAGCCCTTGTTCCACTCGTGGAAACCGGGAATCGCACCCCTGCCTCTTTTTTCATTTTCTTTTTTTTTTTTTTTTTTCCCCTCTGGCACGGGCAAGGATGTATTCTCCCTGTTCTGCATGGAAAGGGGCCCGAAGCCAACAAGTTGGCAGCGAGCAGAACCGCGTAGTTATTGCAAGGCGTAGGCCGGACCCATCCTGCTTCACGGTGCTCCCTGCCCGGCAGGCGCTCCTCACCGGGCACCCTGCAACGTCGCGTCCCGTTCCACAGCGGGCGACAGAGCGGACTCACCCACCAGCATCCTCCTACCTGTAAGACCCCCTTACTCCTAACCTGACCCCCGCAACGCCACTTCCTACCCTTCCCCGTTTCCTGAATCCTAACCCACTATCTTGTCTGCTGTTTACACTTCCTACCTCTGCCACCATACCCTAATCCCCAACTACTCTGCTCCCTATTGCCGTCACACACGCACGCCGCTACGCTCCCGCTACAGCCGTTCCGCTCCTGTCTCATTTCTGCCCCCGTCACCAGCGCAGTCGCGGTGCTGACCGAGGACGGGTACGCGGCCCCCCCTGACACTCAGTACGGTGCGCTTGTGGAGCGGTTCCCGCCGCGTGCGCGCGTCACGCACAATTACACATACGTCTTAGGTAGGTACCCGTCTCCCAGAATAGCACGAAATACCGGCAGGAGCAGTTTCCTACACGGGATGGATCGCTGCGCTCACAGAGGCAGATGGCACAGAGCTGGCACGGGCTCCTGCTTATTCGGTCACCTTTGCTCGAGCACACAGGTGTCAGTGTCAGAGGGAGGCACTTCACTGAAATTCCTTTTTTTTTTTTTTTTTTTTTTTGCTACCCATTTCCACGTACTCCCAAAAGAAAGTGAGGTGACACGGTGCGGGAGGTGGAAGGAGATGCTTTTTTGGCAAAAGACTGGAAATTAAACAGGAGCAAAGGCAGGCTGGGCCTTCCTTATAATTCATACCAGAGTAGAAGCTCCCATATTAACCACTAAAAAAATCCAAGTTGAGGAAATAACAGCTGGAGCCCAACGCACTCTAACACTCACACGTTCTCCCTGTCCTACCCTTCCCCCACACACAATATTTACAGGCTAAGAAGCTGCAGCTGCCCACTGTCCTACCCACACCTCCTCTCAATTTGCCGTCAAGAAGTCTAGTGTTGTCCCGTTTTGTTTAGGACGTGCCCCAGTGCATTATCGGGTGAGAAAAGAGGGCGGTTCACAGCCTTAAAGGAAGTTAGTTGACCACAATGCTCCCCGGGGCGCTCAGTTCCCATCCGGAGCCCAGGAGGCAGCAGTGTGGGCAGTCCAGTGCTGTCCCTGGAGCACAGAAGCTCAACAGCCCTGTGCTGGGCTACTCCATCGCCCAGGCGCGTCAGACCTTCTACGTAGGGACAGCAGTCTCCAAACTGCGCCGGCTGTGTCGAAGTTTGCGTTTGCTGCTGTACAGGGCCATTTCTTCAAGCGCCGACGACGTAGGTGTTGATGACTCACGTGTTACTAACATCTCCTCTTCCTCTGGCTGCCCATCCTGCTCCTGGGGAACTGTGCAGACAAGGAAAGTTACGGTTTTAAGAGAAAATTCTAGATTAACTATATAGCGGATGATAGAGTTAACGTAGACATAAGACATTCAGTGCCCAGGCACTGAATTGGAGACAGCACTGAAGCCTCGGTGATTTACAGTAATCCCGTGCCCAGAACTTGTAGGTGATCTGTAGCTCCTTTACCGACTGCTCGGGGTTCTGGGCAGGAACTTCTCCCAGGCGTGAGAAGACACGTGCCCCTTACACCCGCGATTCACTGAAAATTCTTGGAAGCGGCAAGCCTCAGGATAAATCTGCAACCTGCTGTAGGTGACCCTGCTCTGGCAAGGGGGTTGGACTAGATGATCTCCAGAGGTCCCTTCCAACCCTGACCATTCTGTGATTCTGTGATTCTGTGAAATCAAGTGTACGGAAGGGACTCCGGCGTATGCTGCTGCTCCAAGCATCTCGCTAGTTTCAACAGCGCCGCACGCGCTGAAGAGCAGTGTGACCGCCAGCGCGGTGTGCTGTAGCTAACGAGAGAGGTGAGCATTTTGGCCTTGCCTAACGTCGAAGCTACGCAACTGAGTCATTTCTGTAAATTTAGGCTGTGACTTGGGTCCCTCACCAAAGGAACTCGCCAGAAAAGATACTCTGGTAGGGCAGACTCTCGGTTAACTTGGTCTCACACCTTTGGGGATGTGTTCTGCATCTAAAGTACGCTGCTCTTAGAGCGGCTCCTCACCCTCCTGAGGGGAACTGGTAGAGTTTATCTGATGTGCTTTGACATACACCTGGAACGTCTGCCCTTTGCCGTAATTTGGCTTGCCCTTTGCCGTAATTTGGCTTGAGCAAGTGCTGCGAGATACTTGTGTAAAAAGGAAAAAGTTCCACAAACCCACAGATTTTTCCCTTCGAGTGCAAACTGGCTCTTGGGAGGCCTCTCAAGTCTTTGAACGTAGCAGAGAACCTCAAATACAGAAATCTATGAAGATATCACAGAATCACAGAATTTTCAGAGCTGGAAGGGACCTCCAGAGCTCACCCAGTCCCACCCCCCTGCTAAAGCAGGACTGCCCAGAGCACATCGCTCAGGACTGCATCCAGGCGGGTCTTGAAAACCTCCGGAGAAGGGACTCCCCCACCCCCTGGGCAGCCTGTGCCAGCGCTCTGTCACCCCAACCGTAAAGAAGTTCTTCCCTCTGTTGGAACGGAACTTCCTCTGCTCCAACTTGTGCCCACTGCCCCTCGTCCTGTCACTGGGAACCACCGAGAAGGGTCTGGCTCCATCCTCCTCCAACCCCCCTTTAGATACGTGTATGCCATAATAAGGTCTCCCCTCAGCCTTCTCCTCTCCAGGCTGAAGAGTCCCAGCGCTCTCAGCCTCTCCTCATACGGGAGATGCTCCAAGATGTTCTATATATCTGAGATCTGATGTATCAGATCAAAGGCGCACAACCTGCTGAGCTGCACGCAGTGGTCTCTGCCCTCTGCTCTAGAGCCGGGCTCCAAGATACAAAATCCTCCTTGTTACAGTTCCCAAGTACGAGCGGTCGTTATAACTCAGAATCCTTCCTGAACTATCAACCGTGGCATTAACCCGTTGTTTGAAAAGACCTCGGAACCAAACGCACGTAGGCGACGAATCTGACATCTCGGAAGGATACTGGGACTGGTAAGCAACGGCTGACTTCCAAACAAGGCAAAAGAGGTGTAAAAATGGGCACATGCAGATGAGAACCCAGAGGGGGGGTGGGGGAGGAAATCAACGTGGCTTAGAGGGAATTTGTTCCTTTTCGACCCTCTTAGACTGGAATTTGCCAAAGGAGCCATCAAACGTGCAAGTCAAGTGATCTCAACACAGCATGCCGAGCTGGTAAAAAACCCTTTTGATTGTTCCTCGGCCAAAGCTCTTAACAAAACCAAGCTGCCGTGGCATAGGGCGCATCCTTTAGTAGGTAAATAAGTAGTTAAAACACAGAAAAAGTGCAGGAAGTTATTACCGTACCACAGCCCCGCGCAGCTGTCTGTGTTAGGGTCAGTACTTGGTAACTAATGAGGAGGAGGAGAAGCGACGAAGACTGTATTGAGAGAGAGTGCTGACGATACCAAGCTGTGTATCGGGGCAGTCAAATGAAACTCAACTACAAAAAAGGGTATCGGGATTTTACAGAGTTGTCCGGGCAATGAGGCGGAAGGTGCAATTGACTGCAAATGTGAATAGATTCAAGAAAGAAGTAAACAACTCTGAAATTTAAGGTCTCTGGCTTAAAAAGTGCGAAACCACAGATTGTTGTAGTCTGGAGTCGTACGCTGGAAGGAATCACTTCATGTTTTTCTTCTTTTATGCTCTTTTCTTGGCATTCCCAGTGGCTCACATCAGACACAGTATCGGACTAGCCAGAACCTCCTGCTGACGCAAGTAAGTTTATTTTTACGCTATTGAATGATATTTAAGCTCAACAGAAGTAATGTAATTCCGATTGTATATAAAATGCTTAACATCCTTCATTTAACATCCTTAAATGAGATTATGATTCTCTAGTCATTAGGGGGAGCTTTCTGAAACCACTAGCACTTCTCCGCAATTCCGTTTCACTTTTGAGGATTCGGCATCAGAAAAGATGGGAGAACATACGGAACACCTTCTGCCCCTGCATAAACTCAGCATATACCTACTTTTGCAATACTACATGCAGCCCCGTTCTCCTTCTCTACCTTACAAAGGGCAGAGATGAAATAAAAAAGGTCCAGAGGGGTGTGGGAGTGATTGCCACAAAGAAGAATTAGGACTCTTCAGCGTGAAAGAAAGATAACTGATACGATACCGGTCTACATGAATGGTACCGAAAAGAGTGAGATTTGCCAAGACAGAATTGAGAGAGAAACTGTTCCCCGTGTAAAATAAAGGGGGGAAAAATAGCTGCGAAACATGCAGAAGAAACCAGCACCAACTGTTAAAGGAAAGAGAAGCAGTACTAAGGAGCAGGCAGGTCCTGCGCAGCTCCACACTACTCCTACAGCCACCGGGAACGAGGTGGGAGAGAGTCTGAGCTTGGCTGTTCTAGCCGGGGCCAGAGACACACCATAGCCAGGACAGCCTGAAGAGACACAACAGCCAAAGCTTTAATTGTTGTGTATTTAGGTGAGCGTACACACAGATCCACGGGCACAGACTCAGAGAGTCACCCGGGTACTCAAGCACCCAAACGCTCTCTCAAGTCTTAAATCAGGAGGAATTTACCTGCGGCCGCCTGCTGCAGGCAGCAAGATTCTTCGCTCGAGCAAAAGGGGAAGAAGGCCGACCCTGAACATGGACGTTAGCCACTCGCAGCAGGTGACAGAGGCCAAAACTTCCCACCCGTGTTCTCCTACTATTCTCTACTCCAGAACACAAAACTGGAGGAAAACTAGGCATGCTTGTCACACACCATTCTCAGCAAATCAGCCATCACTAAAGCACAGTGCAAATATCCTACCCGAAACTGAGCGCGGCGAGGTTGGAGGTTTCATTCTAGAATGGACAAAACAGGACATTGCTTCAAGCAGCAAGAAGTTGAAGTCCTCAGGGTTGATTCCACAAAGCAGGCACAGGGGAACCCTCTGGAACCGTGGTGGGAAGCAAGTAGTGCAAAGGCAACTCCTTTGGCCGTCAACTTACCTGAGTTATTTCTGTCATCTACGTATCTGAGGTCATCAGCTGCATCAGGTGACTGGAAGAGAACAGAAGACATGAGCATCCACCTCCGTAACCCCAGTGGCAGGTAATTTCCCACGTCCAACACACTACAGAGAACCTTCTGCCCTCAAACGTGCTGGTAATACGGCAGCCGGGACATGACCCTCGGTGAACGCACATCATCACAACGTTAATCCTTTGTGCTAAAGCCCAGCAGCCCATCGCCTGAACTGCAGAGTGAGGTGTGGGTCTGCCCGTCAGAGCTCTCCTCCTTCTCAATGGCGTGCGGAGGGAGAAGAGGACAGGAAGCGACATGAAAGGCAGAAATTAGTAGAAACATGGGAGGAGAGCAAAGACATGAGATACGTGTCCTTGAGAGACCTGGATCTTAATTCTGCATCTCTGCTGTTCCCAGGCCTAGCTTCTTGTGCAAAATCAACTTTCTCAGCATAGAATCACATAATGGTTAAAGTTGGAAGGGACCTTAAAGATCATCTAGTCCGACCCCCTGCCCCGGGCAGGGCCACCTCCCACCAGCCCAGGTTGCTCAGAGCCCCGTCCAACCTGGCCTTGAACACCTCCAGGGATGGGGCAGCCACAGCTTCTTGGGGCAACCTGCCCCAGGGGATCACCACCCGCACAGCCAAGAATTTCTTCCTCATATCTGATCCAAATGTCCCCTCTTTCAGTGTCAAACCATTCCCCCTGGTCCCATGGCTCCCCTCCCTGATGCAGAGTCCCTCCCCAGCTCTCCTGGAGCCCCTTTAGGCACTGGAAGGGGCTCTATTGTCTCCGTGGAACCTTCTCTTCTCCAGGCTGAACCCCCCAACTGTCTTCTTTATATTCAGGTGCGTACAGAGAACTGATGGGGGATAGGGAGCAGTTACATCCCAACAAATGGCAGAGACAGCTTTGGAGAAACAGCTAAGTGATAATCGTGAAACTCTGCCGGTTCCTGCTAATTTTAAAGCCTTCAAAAAATTAAGACCATTCTGACAACCAGAGCTGTCTGCAGCTCATCAGACCGGAGTGACAACACCGTGAGAAAACAACTTTGATCGTGGTCATGAACTTGAGGTGCCTTGAAAATCAGCACTACTCTGGGGACAGGCATAAATGTACCGAGCCCTACTTATTTTGCTGATTTAGAGAATTTAATCTAGCTGTATATAGTCCTTCAAGGGTAGAAAGGTCAAAGCATCACGTCGAGGTATTCTGTTTACTTCGAAAGCGGCTGCATTTGTTTCTTCTACTGTTCTTTTTGGGTTTGTACACGATACTTACACTTGAGCTCAACGCTTCTCTGAGCTATACAAACGGAAGGATAGGGTTTCCGAAGAGCTCAGTATTCAGCAAGTTTAATAATGCCAAACTTGTCCAAAAGTTCTGGCCACTACTGATCCAAATCGACCTTTTAGGGGTCTTCTTGCTCAGCTCAAGAACAAAAGTGAGGAGTAGCTTAATTTTTCTTTAGTTGTAGGATGAAGGATGGCGGCTCTATACACTTACATGGAAAGCATTAGGGAAGTTTCACAGCTGTGAGTGCAAGAAGCCCTCGTTTCCGCATAAACTGGCCTATTTTGTGCAAGCAGTGAAATTGGGGGAGATGATCTCAGGCCACTTAGTGCTTTAGAAAGAAAGCAGTCGTGCTCTTCATGACCAGCAGAGAGTGGAGCCGGGGGCGGCTGTGACGACTTTGGTGTGCGTTGCTGAGGACCACAGCCCAGCCAAATAGCGCCGCGCCGATCCAGAGCGAGCGACGCAGTTGTGTGACTATGGCCGGGAAGAAATACAGTCTCTTAATCAGTGTGCTGCTGAGAGAGGTCCAGAGGAACTGCCGGATGATCTGTAGGTGTAGACTCCGTTGGAGGCACCTTCTCGGCTGAATGAAGACCCAGTGCTGTGCTGTGGCCTCAGCAGAGGCTTGGGGAAAGTTGGGTAGTCCAGAGCTGCCCACTTGAGTGGGCAGTCCTCTAACTCCCTTGGTACAGACCCTGAACAGGCGTCCACCCCAACAGGGAAGGGATTCTTGGAGGAAAAGAGAAGTGGCTACCAAGGGCTGAGCAACACCACCAGCAAAAGGAGTCAGCCAAGAACGTGCATCATAGAATCATAGAATGGTTTAGGTTGGAAAGGACCTCGAAGACCATCGAGTTCCAACCCCCTGCCATGGGCAGGGACACCTCCCACCAGCCCAGGTTGCCCACGTCCAGCCTGGCCTTGAACACCTCCAGGGATGGGGCCTCAACAACCTCTCTGGGCAACCTGTCCCAGTGCCTCACCACCCTCACAGTGAACAACTTCTTCCTCATGTTTAATCTAAACCCGCCCTCTTCCAGTTTATAGCCATTCCCCCTCGTCCTGTCACTCCATGCCCCAGTAAAAAGTCCCTCCCCAGCTCTCCTGGAGCCCCTTTAGGCACTGGAAGGCCGCAATAAGGTCTCCCCGGAGCCTTCTCTTCTCCAGGCTGAACAGCCCCAGCTCTCTCAGCCTCTCCTCATCGGAGAGGTGCTCCAGCCCTCGGATCATCCTGGTGGCTCTCCTCTGGACACGCTCCAGCAGGTCCATGTCTTTCTTATGTTAATAAATCAATACATCAAATAATGTACAACTGCCTGAGAATCCTCAAACTGCAACTCTGGTGAAGTCAGGCCGGCTTTGGAGATGACACCTTGGACGTGCGATCTTTGTGTCACGACAGCAAGTTAAAGGCCAACACGTCAGTACTCGCTAGCTCTCTATAGGCACCACAGACATAACTGCAGGTATCCGGTCCACTGCCTTTATACAAAACTAAGCAAAAAAACCTAAAAAAAAATTCATACAGACATACAGTGTCTGCTCAAATCAGCTGTCACAAATGCAATCAGTTAATGACAAACACAAACAGTAAGAGAAAGGCAGTTCACAGTTGTCAACTGGTCCTAGGTGGCCCTGCTTGAGCAAGGGGGTTGGACAAGATGACCTCCAGAGGTCCCTTCCAACCTCAACTGTTCTGTGATTCTATGGCAAAGCAGCTTAAATGAAGTGAGGTTGTTTTAGGAAGGAGAACCACCTCGCCACGGTGCTCACCCTCGAAACTCGGTGTTCTCTTACCGTGCGATTACTTCACGGTTCATCTACAGCTGCTTCTTGGGCAGGATGCCGGATACATTCTAGTTTGAAGTTAACATTTGCTCCAATTTGCAACTTGTTGGCAATCATTTCTATAGTTTTTTTCTTCCCTTTTAGTTCTCATCTTTCACTTAAAAATATTTGAGGATCAATGAAGGTGAACATATAGCTGCTTTATAGTCGCAACGCTTTTGTCATTAATTTTAAAACTATCTGGACCAACTTTTTCACAACTCCACTCGACTGAAGTCTCCAATAAACCCTCCGTTACACAGCAGGGCTGGTTGTCACTGCCTCCCACACCGACGGGGCCTTTGAAGAGGACTCCCTCGGTTTATTCCACCTCTGCTCTGAAGGTCATCACTTCAGGTGCAGGCACTTCCATCAAATCAAGCCCTAACCAGTCTAATAGGTGGTTCAGCATGCAGTTTATACCTGGATTTCGTAAACAGGTTTGGAGGAAGGAATAGCAGCAAATTCCCGGTAGTCAAACTTCTTTTCAGACATGGACTAGAAGGGACAGCAAAAGAGAAGAAACACAGAAGAGAGAGTAAGGGGAGAGAAGTGGATGGAGAACAAGCAGCAAGCTGAGCGATCTACGCAGAGATAAAAGCAGCAGCAGAGCGTCATTCTCGGTTAGTGCCAAGAGCGCCCGGATACAGCCTCTGAAAACAAGGCATCTCCGCGACACCGTCTTTTGAGCTGTTCTGGTGTCAGGACAGGGGTTCCAAGTTGCAGAGAAAACACTGTGTGCTCCAGTAAAACGCACACGCACACCCAGTCAGGTAGGAAACCTGTTTTCGGGGGAAAATTCGTGGCAAGATTCCTGATGGCTGTAGCACAGTCAGGATTTCATCCCAGAGTTGGCTGTGTTGTGTGACCTTGGGCAAAACCTGGTCTCCTCTCTGTGCAGCTGCTCCCGCTCTTCTGTTTGTCTGTCTTACTACATTTGGAAGTTCTCTGCAACAACGTCCCGTTACATTTATACAGTGCTTAGAAAAGGGAAAACGCTGATTTCAGCTGAAGTTCTCAGTTTTATGCTGTTGAGGAAACAAGGGGCCAAAGTCTCTGAAGTGAAAGGCTTTCTGAACGCCGAGATGAAGAACCAAGAGAAGGATGCAATAATAAAACAGGGAAACAGAAAACAGATGTTAACAGCGTAGCTGCAAAAAAGGGGGGATGCCTCTAGCAACAGGTACGGCGAAGCTCCATCCACTGCGCCCTTACACAATTCTGTACGTCATGCAGGCAGACTGGCTAAAGTATTTAAGTAGGAGTCCCGCAACCCAGACACGCAGTCCGCACCCAGGCTGAGGAACCGCGAAATCCCAGGATTACAGGTGAGATAACAAAAGCAAGCAGAAGGATATCATACCAGCCTTCCCGGTGAAGTGACGTTTCTGGGACTGCAATCTGCAACAGATGACAGAAAAAGCACTATTTAGTGAATGGCGCTATTCTGTGCAACGCTGCCCCGACTCTGCCCCTTCCATTTAGCAGCATTTAAGCGTGGTAAAAGACTATGCTCAGGACAGGCACCGCCTTCTCCAAACAAATGCCTCTTTCCTGTTTTTTTAAAAGGTCGTCACAGCTGGTTTGATCTCTGCTCTGGTTCCCTGGAACCATCCCTCAGGTGTTCTCTCACGTTTTCTACAGATGAGCCCCATCCCCTAAGCTGAGAGATGTCCTGTGCCCCAAAGGACGTTCCAGTCTAGGCAGAAGGAGGAAATTGCTTTTAACAGCTCTGCTTTCAAGCAAGTTAAGCTAGAGAAGCATTCCCTTTTTCCCCTCAGAGGCAGAGACAGCTATACAGTACCTTCCAGCGGTGTTGGCGATGGGGTCGGAACAGGTGAAGGTGACTCTGCCAGCTGCTCCAGCGTGCTGCGTTTTTTCCCCTCCTTGGACTTGGCAATAACCATCTGGGCTTTAAGAGCATCCTGTTCGAGCGATTTCATCCTGCCTCAGAGATGAGGGAGGGAGAAAAAGACGTCAGACGTTGCTTCTCGATAAGAGAGAATGCCGCCTCCTGTGCCCAGCAGCCAGACCGCAGTCACCAGGCTGAGAGCGGAAAGGCGCAGTGAAGCACCCTGCGTTCCCCGGGGCAGACAGACTTCCGAAGCGGGAGAGAACGGCTCGCTTTGATGTCGTCCTGAAACACACACGGTGTGTGTTGAACAGACAGAGCCCGGAGCTAAGCACCAACGCACTGAGAAGCTGAGGGCTTTCCAGAGGTGCCATATAGGGCGGGAGAGCAACCCAAGCTGGGAAAGGAACCGCGGGGGCTCAAGTGAGTCGGGTCAGTTCTCGGGGCTCTGCTCTCCTCTGCGCTCTCAGTGTGTTGCATCTTAACTCTCTTCGGCCATGGGGAGATTATGAACTAGCTAAGAAAAGGTGGGCTCAGCCCTCAGAAACGTCTGCTGCCTTCTTCCAACCAAAGAGACCCAGCGTCCCCCCTCACTCTCACTGAGACAAGCGCCGGCAGTCCGTGGGACCTCAGGGAAACGAACACCAGCGACCACTACCGTTTCCTCCCTGCCCCTTGCGGGCCACAGCCGGGAGCACCGTGGGGATGCGGGGACACGGAGAGGAGTGCGGAGCATGCAGCTGGCGGGGGGGAGCTGTGCACACCTGGATTGGCTTCCTGACCCAGGGGTTCTCCAGGCGGGACTCTGCATTGGACTAGACATCTGAGCTGGCCTGGCCCCGGGAGCAGGTGCCCACTGTCGGGACTGGTAGAGCTTCCTGGCCAGATCCTGCTCGTACTGTTTAATACTGTCTTCAAGAGCTGAGGATCTGAGGAGGAGGAGGAGGAAGAGGAGGAGGAGGAAGAGGAGGAAAAGGAGATGATGGTGATGAACATCGCAGCGGACAAGCGCAGGGAAAGAAAGAAACAGTTACAGGAACATACCCTGGCAAGGAGAAATACGGGTCTGATATAGGGGTAGCCTTGATTAAACCGGGCTCCTCTATCTGATCCTGTCCAACACCAGCTGCTGCAGAAGAAGCAGGAACCTCCAGGTCTGGGATGAGGTGCCCAGAAGCGTTAGCCTTCAGAGCCTCAGCATCCAGAGCCTGCCCTCCTGGCGGGCGAGGAGGGGAGGACCAGAAACACCCAGCAGACCGAAGGGACAGGCCCAGGAGGCAGTTAGAAAGAATGCGCGAAGCGGACTGAGGGAGTACAGGGCATGGGTGTGCGTGCACACATTTGACCGTCTCTTCACGTACATTGGCACACATACACGTGACCACCCGTCAGCATGCACCTCTGTCTGACCACGAGAAACGGGGGAGCAAAACGGACAAGCCGTATTATGAAAGGTCTGTTTGCCACAGGCCCTGCAACGCATGCAATCGGAGAGGTGAGTGCGTCTGCAAATCAGCACGTGCGCGGTGGGAGAACTGCCAAGACGCGTGTAGCTCTTGCTGGACACCTGCCCCCATCGGTGCGTGCCTGTACCTTCTTAGTCACACTCTTCCTACGGCACGAATGCCAGCGGTCGTGTGTGCCCCCAACACTTTATGTAGCATGGGTCCCAGTGTGTTTGTCCCAGCAGAGCACAGGGGTGCGTGCTGGGGGGGACGGGGGCACACCACGTGTCCTGGCAGAGCACTGACGACACAGGGAGAAAAAGGAAAGCCCAAGAAGGTGCGAACTGATGGGGTCACGAGTGACAGCACACAGACCAGAGAACTGGAAAGAAGCAGAAGATAGGAGATTAGAAAGAGAGTAATAAAAGCAGTGGCATGCACTTAAAGAAAACACAGGTTAGTGCGGCTGCAGCACCACGTGCAGGGCACTACGTCCTCCCGCCCACGCAGCACGTGCGGTGCTGCCTGGGCACCTCTGGAAATGAGACCCGAGCCCTGGCTGCCATCGTGTCCCTGCGCTGCTCGAGCACTTACAGAAGAGGGATCCTAAGAAGACCGAGATCATCCTGCGAGATCTGCGGTAGCAGGGAACAGCCCGTCCTCGTCTCACCAAAAGAAGCGCGGTATGGTGACTGACCGATTCCCGCCAACGCCAAAATACGCACGGCCTTAACCCTACCCAAGGAATCAGCCAGACGCTTCTCTAAGGACTGAATAAAAAGCTACACCGTGGTATCGGAGGGAAAGTGGAGCCGAGGACCTGATCTGCAGGACTGTTTTTAAACAGTAACACTGGATCTGATAACTGAAAAGCAAGACAGCGGCAAGCGGCTTCTCCTTGTCATGTATTCTTACCGCTAAAAGGCTCTCCCTTCACTAGTTCACTTTCCATGAACGAAACAAGCTCAGAAGAGAAGAGGCTGAAGGTTTGGGCTAACCCTTCGATAGCGTAACGTGGAACCTCTCCTGTGCCCGAAGCATTTTCAACAAAATCCTAGCTAACCCAAAAGCACAGTCAGATGTACAGTAATTTTTCAGGCACAAATCATGTGATCGCCTAAAAAAATCCTCTCCCCCCCTCCCGCCGTGTTTTTCAGAGTTCTTTATCTGCTCCAACGGCAACAAGTTCATGGGGGAGCTGAGCCTGAGGCAAGCGGCGTATGTTCTGTGGCACGAGCATTGTCCTTGTGATGACTTTGCTTTCAAAGGTTTGTGCAGGCGACGTCACGTTTCTCCTTTCTACGCCCTTCGTAAACAAAGCTTTTAGTACAGCATTCCTGGCGTACGGTAACGCGGAGGCTTACGAGGAACCAGAGCTGACGCCACCTCATAAAGCCTGCCCCGTCATATATATGCATGGGGAGTGGAGGCACGCGGGAGAGAAAATCCTGCGTGCCCAATTGGGAAGGGATGACAGACCACAGTCTCTACTGCCTCTCCAAGCACAGCGACGCCGATTTTCAGGACAGACAACTCCTGTTTTGCTGGATCAAATACAACGGTGGAGCGTTTTTTTGGTTTTTTTTTTTAGGTGCAAAGACTGAGCAGCAGCTCTGTGCAAGATGTCTACTCCTGACGACACTGCGGCGCTTACACAGCGTCGTGCGGACAGTCGGTTTGTAACGTAGCCAATGCTCGTAGCCTTCCCGGGAGACCGAGAAGCGCTACCACAGCCCTCTCTCTGCACATCTGCAGCACAGAGGGACTCTGTCATCTGTCCAACGTCGTAAGGAAGTATAGGCCAGAGAAAGAATTTGGAACTGGCCATCTCAGTCCCAGCCGGCTTCTTCTGAGCCATGGTTTGTAAGCGCACGTTTGGCTCCACAGCACCTGCGCAGCTTCTAGCCCTATAACCCAAGGGCAATGTGGCCGGTTTGGAGGGCACTGCTCACAAATTCCCATGTGTATTTTTGTAAAAGGGGTTGTTTTTGGCTCAATGTGAAAACACACAACTTCCGCTTGCAAATGATCACAGAATCACAGAATTTTCAGAGCTGGAAGGGACCTCCAGAGCTCACCCAGTCCCACCCCCCTGCTAAAGCAGGACTGCCCAGAGCACATCGCTCAGGACTGCATCCAGGCGGGTCTTGAAAACCTCCGGAGAAGGGACTCCCCCACCCCCTGGGCAGCCTGTGCCAGCGCTCTGTCACCCCAACCGTAAAGAAGTTCTTCCCTCTGTTGGAACGGAACTTCCTCTGCTCCAACTTGTGCCCACTGCCCCTCGTCCTGTCACTGGGAACCACCGAGAAGAGTCTGGCTCCATCCTGCTCCAACCCCCCCTTTAGATACGTGTATGCCATAATAAGGTCTCCCACAGAATCACAGAATCACAGAATGGTCAGGGTTGGAAGGGACCTCTGGAGATCATCCAGTCCAACCCCCTGCCAGAGCAGGGTCACCTACAGCAGGTTGCACAGGACAGCGTCCAGGCGGGTTTTGAATGTCTCCAGAGTGGGAGACTCCACCACCTCTCTGGGCAGCCTGTTCCAGTGCTCCACTACCCTCAAAGTAAAGAAGTTCCTTCTCATGTTAAGATGGAACTTCCTATGTTCAAGTTTATGCCCATTACCCCTCGTCCTATCACTGGGCGCCACTGAAAAAAGACTGCTTCCATCCCCCTGGCATCTTCCCATTAAGTATTTGTAAGTATTAATAAGATCCCCCCTCAATCTTCTTTTCTCTAGACTAAAGAGACCCAAGTCCCTCAGCCTTTCTCCATAGGAGAGATGTTCCAATCCCCTCATCATCTTCGTTGCCCTTTGCTGGACCCTCTCCAGCAGTTCCCTGTCCTTCTTGAACTGGGGAGCCCCAAACTGGACACAGTGCTCCAGATGCGGTCTCACCAGGACAGAGTAGAGGGGGAGGATGACCTCCCTCGACCTGCTGGCCACACTCTTCTTGATGCAGCCCCTCAGCCTTCCCCTCAGCCTTCTCCTCTCCAGGCTGAAGAGTCCCAGCGCTCTCAGCCTCTCCTCATACGGGAGATGCTCCAATCCCTCAGTCATCTTGGTTGCCCTTCGCTGGACTCTCTCCAACAGTTCCCTGTCCCACCTGATGCCACCTGAAAAGTTGTGACGCAGAAACCATGGGAACAGCATCAACTACAACAGGCGCAAGATGCCAAATCCAGCGGAACGTTCGGTGAATCGGAGCAGCAGAGAGAATCCCGCAGTATTCTGAGCAGGAAACAACAGCACGGGGCGGAACCGATCCTGCCAGAGCACTCCGTTGACATCCCAACTCATCACTGCTGGTACACGGGCATCCCCATCAGCGGGCGCCGGGGGAGGAGACATTACTAAGCATAGACTCCCAGAGCAATTCCGGTGGGAAGGGACCTCTGGAGGTCGTCTGATCCAAAAGCTGCTCAAAGCGGGGCCAGCTGTTACACCAGCTTCAAAGGTGTAACAATCATGCTACAAGATGACAGAAATCAATCTCTTCCGACTCAAGGTTCCAGACAACCAACAGGCTTTCCGGTGACCCGTTCAGCTTTCTGACATTACAGGGCACTGCAGTGAAACTAAGGCAGCGCTTCAGAAAAAAGTTTCCGGCTGAGACAGAACAAAGGACTCATCCAAGGCAAAGGGTTGGAGCATAGCGAGAAAGTTTTTCTTGAAGGGCAAAAGCCCCGATACTAGGAACGTTAGTCCAGATCTGTTACATGATCAACTAACAGCGGGAAGCTTTGTACCCTCAAAGCTCTAGGTAATTAGCCAGCTCTCAGTGAGGATTCCACTATATATTCCTTCATCCTCAGAGCCTCCCCAGAAGACAAGAGCACCATTATCATCCATGTCTAAGCGGAAACAGCGGAATTGCCGAGTGGTGTCACAACTCACGGTAATTCCTCTAGCGTCTTACCTAGCAGGCTGGCAAAGATGAATCGCTAGCAGCCCTGTTCCTCTAAAAGCTCTCATTCAAACCCCAAAAGAGACTGTTTCAGATTGCCCTTTGAATGCCTCCTACAGGAACATTATGGGAAGAAAACTATAATTAGTTACAGGAGCAGCTTGACTAATTTTTGAAAGGAATAATATGACACGGTAAATACCTGGACTAACTTCAAGTCTTAAGTTCTGAGCTAGGAAGTTCTTTTTCTCCCAAACCAATTTAAATACTCTTTCACAGCTGATGAAACAGCTTGGGTGGATAAGAATGCCCTCATCTTGCTTATTTCTTGGCTTCAGCAAGTTTTCCAGTCCAGCAACGCTGGATACCTGAAATGCTCTTTCCATTTTTCATTTTGCATACGTCCCCTTGCAGCTTCAATAAATACCATCTTTTTCATGTGTTACAGAGGAGGTGGGAAGCTGTGTGCTGAGAAGGAAGGAATACATTCACCGTCACGTAAAGGTGTTGAAGTTACGTTTTTTATAAAACTCCGCTGTCTTCATGATTGTGCAAGCACGGTTAAAATATGAGTCATCTCGCCCGTGTAGCTGTCGGAAGCAGATGAGCTCAGCCAAGCGGCGGATGCTTTGCACTGTTTGGACAGATACTATTTAACCTCCCCTAACATCTGACTTAAGGCGGCTTTTTTAGTCCCTGTTTTTAATACCACGTAATCCAAAAGCCATGCAGCGGGTCCCCTTTGCCTGAACTAGCCGAGCGAAAAGAACAGTGAGGGTTCTTCTGTCTCACCGTGCTGCCCTCCACATTGCTCGCTTCTCCGCCTCCAGAGCACGACGTTCTGCTGGAGAAAGTTCCTTCTCTTGGCCACTCAGCAGCTCAGGACTCTGCATTCGCAATCGCTCCTGGTGTCGCCGTTCAGCTTTGGCTGTCCGCACAGGTGCCACTGGATCCCCTGCTCCAAGATATAACGGACTCAACCTGGGCAGAGAGAGAGAGACAGTGAGAGGTAGGCTGGCCTGGTCCACGACAACTCTTATCTGAGTGTTTTCAGGATAAAAGCTGATGATCGACATCCCCCACCAACTGTTTAGTACCACACCCAAGGACATCACCTTGGGAGGCGGAAGGACACGTAACAGAGGTGAGTTTCTCTTAAGAAGTTGGTTCCGATCACAGTTTCCCTTTCTCCAGAAAATCCTTCCCTTTACACCCTACGTCTGCTAAAAAGGAGGAGCCATCTGCTCCCTCATCTGGTGGCTCCCAGGCAGAGGACGTTGCTCATCCACTTACCCAGACATGGAGTTGGTTCTCTGGTCAGGCTTGATTCCCTCTTCCAGTGAATTCCTTTGGGAGCTGCTGTTCTCATTGACCTCGGAGGGCCTAGAGGAAACCAGACATGTCAGCTAACAGTGCCACAGGCTGGCATACCCAAGAAAGGTTTGGAACAGATCCAAGCCCCAGGAAGCAACAGGTAGCTCAGTTTGAAGACACAACCCTCAATGATTTTGCTCAACAGCTCCTTCTCCATTGCCAGAAGCATTTCCTTGTTGACTTCATAAACGTTCACGCTCTCTACCATCAGAACTAATTTTCTTCATTTGGAGGTCAACCATCCACTAACCCACGCGGGCTCTGGAAATGTAATGCATCGTGTTTGCTGACAAGTTCTTGCACAGTTCTAGCCTGGCTCTTCCCAGCTGCCGTTACGTGACGGGCAGCCCGGCTGCCTCCCGCCGGGTTGTACGCCAACGCACGGCCGGGCGTGGGACGAATCCCGCGTGACCTCAGAGCGGCGATTCTCAATGCCGCCACTCTACGCGCAACTGCTTGACACACCGAAGCTTTATGCTCATAACCAAATTACCACAAACTTCAGATCAGCTGAGCTGCAGTTACCACCTGCACACGCAGACACTACTCAGTTTGATCCGTAACGAAAGCAGGTCCCACAAGCCTGTTTTCCACAGGTTGAGAACACGCACGCAGTTACTGTGGGTCAGTTGGCAGTGAGAAAGTTTATCATGACTCTGAGCCCTTATTTTTACCGCTCAAGTTTCTTTTGATTAAATTTCAGTTTCTGTTCTAGCATGACGAAAAATATTTCGAGAAAGACAAATTCAGTCTGTTCCACTGCCTCGCCTTTGTTCTGGCATAAATAACGAGCAACTGGAAGTCATCTGATGGATCCAGCCTCACTGCTCCCTAACCTCCCAAGCTGCAATATGAAAACAGTAGGGACAGGTACGCCTTCACATCAAACCAAGAAGCTGGTTTGCATTTGGCTGCTGTCCTTCCTTAGAGTTGCCCTGTCAGCACGGGAGGTGGAAGGTCTCAGTGCATTCATTCTTTATGTGAGAAGTTCCTCAACAGAAACTGGACAGAAACAATGGAGAGAAACGACAACGCAAAATGACAGGATAAGTGTTTCCAGCCACTGTGAGACTGACAATAAAAGTGTTTGTGAAGAGAGGAACGTCTGTACCAAAGACTCAGAAGAGAGAGTCAGATAAGGACAGCTTCAGCTTTATTCTAGTACAACCTTATTTTTACCGGAAGTCTTCCGAGAAGCCTTTTCTCATTCCTCAGTCCTATGCCCAAGAATTAGGAAAACCACATCAAGGCAACCTGGAGGACAAGTCCAGGAGAGCCAGGAAGCAAAAGCTTAAAAAACCCCAAACCTAGGTTGATCGTCAGGGCTTATCTTGAATTAGCTGTCTCTAAAAGTCAACATCTCTACATGCCCCAGTGCACAGCTGAAGGGGCTGTTCTTCTGAAAGGAAAGAGCTGGAAAGACCTGCCCAGTTATACGCTGAAGAAGAAACACTGCCCAGCCCTCTTCCCTGAAAGTTATCGATACTGGGACACCTCTGACACATGTGGGTGGCACTGAGCGATCAGTCTTGTCTTACCGAGTTGCTGGAGACTGGCTGCTCCTTCCATTTAGTCTCTCAATCTTGTACTCAACTCCTTCAATGATGACACTGGACTGCGTGCTCATCTCAGGCGCCTGTTTTACCACCTCATCCTCTTCCGCCTCTTCCTCCAACAGAAGGGTACGTTTCTGCTGCAGTTTTCGAGCTGCCAAAATAAGACACACTCATCTTATACCACAAAGCACGTGCTGTACCCCCACAAGGATGCAACCTCTGGGCTGGTCCTTACGCTCACCATCCCTGCAAGTTTGTCTGGTTTAAGTCCCTACCCTCTCCATGGATGCCTTTGTTTCTCCTCCATTCCACTAATGCTTCAGACGTAACAAACTCTACATCGTTCCCTCAGTCCCTCCTTCCTCACTCACTAACCTTCCGTTCCTGGACACTCTATAGAACAGACTTCCAACAGTTCGTTGTGCTGAGTGTACTCATCCTCAACGCTGGAAGTTGTGCGCAGACTCTTCTGCCCCCATCCCCAGAGCGGGCAGCCCTCGAAATCTCCATGCACACGTTGAATCCGGTCTTCGCATTTGCAAATATTTGTTCGATATTTTCATCAACAATCCGGATGCGGGAGTTGAACGCACCACTGGTGAATTTGCTGATGACACTAAACGGGGAAGTGCTGTTGACTCTCTCAAGGGACATGAGGCCTTGCAGAGGGTTGATAAACTTTGTTTGAGGTGCAAGAGTGGGAGTACTAGTACTCGGAGATACCTTGATTACAGGTGATGTTAGTCCTCATCTACCCTGCTTAGCAAACCTCAAACAAGCTGAAATGCAAGCCTGAAACTTGTCATTATGCTACAGTTTCTTCCTTCCATACTTTGCATCTTGATCTTTGCGTCTCCTACGTATCTCTTTTAGCTGCCAGTAAGAGTCTGACATACCGAGATAACTTCTTGTGTTGGACCTGTGACGCGTTTGGCCACATCGCATGGAAGAAACCCAAAATGACAAGTTGCAATTTCTTTTTCTTACCGTCCGTTCTATCCTTTATGAGCTTGCTCTCGTCTTAAAATGTATTCATGTTCCTGAACTACTAAGTCAAAATCATAGAATCATCTAGGTTGGAAGGGACCTTGAAGATCATCGAGTCCAACCATCAACCCAACACTGCCAAAATCACCACTAACCCACGTCCCTCAGCACCACGTCTGCCTGGATTTTAAACACCTCCAGGGATGGCGACTCCCCCCCTGCCCTGGGCAGCCTCTGCCAGTGCTCCACAACCCTTTCCATGAAGAAATTTTTCCTAATATTCGTCCTAAACCTCTCCTGGTGTAACTTGAGGCCATTTCCTCTTGTCCCATCGCCTGTTCCGTGGGAGCAGAGCCCGATCCCCGCTCGCTCCCCCCTCCTTTCAGGGAGCTGGAGAGAACGAGAAGGTCTCCCCTCAGCCTCCTCTTCTCCAGGCTGAACTCCCCCAGGTCCCTCACTGCTCCTCACCAGACGTGTGCTCCAGACCCCTCACCAGCTCCGCTGCCGTTCTCTGGACACGCTCCGGCCCCTCAATGTCTGTCTTGTCCTGAGGGGCCCAAAACTGAACACAGCACTCGAGGTGGGGCCCCACCAGTGCCGAGGACAGGGGGACGGTCACTGCCCCAGTCCTGCTGGCCACACTGTTCCTGACACAGGCCAGGATGCTGGTGGCCTTCTTGGCCACCTGGGCACACTGCTGGCTCGTATTCCGCCGGCTGTCCACCAACACCCCCAGGTCCTTCTCTGCCAGGCGGCTTTCCAGCCACTCCTCCCCAAGCCTGTAGCGCTTGAGAAGGTTTCTAATGCTCTGGACAAATTTGCAAACAGCCTCTGAACAGGAATGGAGATGGGAAGATGGGAAAGAGAAGACCAGCTGTTTATAAAATGAAAAAAAAAAAACCCAAACAAGAAAACCCAATAATTTACAAAAGGAATTCTATAATACGTTTTGCAAGCAACAGTCACAGCTCCCAAACCCAGGAGTCCAATTCCAGCTGTATTTTCTTATGGAACAGGACAGGATTTCAGGAGAAGCCCTTTTTTCCACTTAACGTCATTCCTCTCCACCTTTTAAAACAACTCTCAAGCAGGAGGAAACGACATCAAAAAAACTATAGCAGTAACTTTCCCTCCTGTGGCAAGCCCCGTGCAAAACCAGAGCAGCATATTGAGCGGTCAAAGCTCTGCTGTCAGATAACACGTAAGGATGCCACGGGCAGCCCCCGTGTTGCTGCGTTATCAGCCTGGGGCAGTTTACAAAGAAACGTCGTCATTTGTAGTAGCTTTTTTTAATTTTACTGAAGTGCTTACCAACCACAGGAAACCCTGACCACCACAGCACGTCCAACAGTCCACACAGTAGCAGTGGAGCGCCCACAAAACTCCGTAACACGCAGTTCCTTCAAGCTATTACCAGGTCTTATGGATAACCGCCCACGGGCTTTTGGAAGTGCGGGATTTTTGGGGCGTGTGCTCTCTCATGCCTCCCATGGAGAAAGGCCAGATTGCCTTGCGCAGGTTCCAACATACCTTCCTCCTCTTTCATTTTCTTCAGGTCATCCTCTCCTACCAAGGAGACGCGCTTGGGAGGCTTATCCATCTGCTGTTGCTTCACCTCGATTTCGAAATACTTCTGCCTCTCGCGGAAGGATCTCTGCTCAGGGCTGTGCAGTCCACCGGGGCTGTGTGTGGCCACCTGCGAGAGCCGCACCGGCACTTGCCCACCTGGCCACCGAGCCAAACCGCCCTCCCACGTCGCCCGTAACGTAACGCGTGCCCCGTACCTGCCCCCCCAGCCACGTCCTCTGCACCTCCTCCCAGCCCTCCCCTGCATGCCCACGCCGGGCTCCTGCCTCCACATCCACGGCCCCGAAAGCCCGAATCCTCTGCAAGCCCCCATCCCACTCCCAGCTCCAGCCACCAGAACTCACCTCCGGGGCAGTTTTGGGATTCTCTGTGCTGGTCTGACCAGGTATTTCCTAAAGAATAGAGAAAAACGGGCACGTTTTAAATAGAAAGTTTTCTAACACCATTCCTGCTCTCCAGCCAAGCGTCACCAACGCCACGTAAGCGGCAGCAGTCCTGGACGTTAGCTGATGGACCGGTTCACAGAATTCACAGAATTCACAGAATTCACAGAATTGTTAGGGTTGGAAGGGTGGGTGTTCCCAGGGGGGGGAGCCCCCCCCACCTCTCTGGGCAGCCTGTGCCAGTGCTCCACTACCCTCAAAGTAAAGAAGTTCCTTCTCATGTTAAGATGGAACTTCCTATGTTCAAGTTTATGCCCATTACCCCTCGTCCTATCACTGGGCACCACTGAAAAAAGACTGCTCCCATCCCCCTGGCATCCTCCCGTTAAGTATTTGTATGTATTAATAAGATCCCCCCTCAATCTTCTTTTCTCTAGACTAAAGAGACCCAAGTCCCTCAGCCTTTCCTCATAAGAAAGGTGCTCCAGTCCCCTCATCATCTTCGTTGCCCTTTGCTGGACCCTCTCCAGCAGTTCCCTGTCTTTCTTGAACTGGGGAGCCCAGAACTGGACACAGTACTCCAGATGTGGCCTCACCAGGGCAGAGGAGAGGGGGAGGATGACCTCCCTCGACCTGCTGGCCACACTCTTCTTGATGCCCCCCAGGATGCCATTCGCCTTCTTGGCCGCCAGGGCACATTGCTGGCTCAAAAAACAGCAAAACAGTCCCACAATGAACACAAGACAAAGCCACTTTGGGCTTAGCAGTAGTGAGTAATAAGGATTTAGGATAAATTGAGGGCTAAACAGAAACAGATGGCGAAACCTTTTAAAAAGGCAGAAAGTGAAAAACACGGGGAAATAGGTGAAGAACGGGAGCAGACGACTTGGCTTATGACGGAGGAGGCTTAGACTGTCTTTAAATCAAAGAGGCAACTATCGAAAATTTACTTCTAGGAGGTGGAGACCCTGTCAGGAAAGAAAGAAATCCCTGTTTGCCAGAAAAAATAAGAGAATATCGGATAAGTAGAACTACAGGGGGCAGAAAAAGAAATTGATCCACAAACCCCATCTGTGAAGCAGAAATCAGTAAGGGTAAAGTGAGACCTGCCAAAGAGTTATTAAAAATATGAAAGTTTTTTAATTGTACAATTGAACGGGAACCGCAAGAAAAGAGCAAGCAGACTACCTTCGACTTTATTCAAACACACTCCGAAAAAGTAATAGAAAGTTTTAATTTTGTGTAAGTAAGGAGCAAGATAACAGAGAAGGGAAGGCGGGGAAAAAAAAGGCAAAAAAAAAAGCTTCTAGCTGAGAAGCAGATGTCTCGAAATAGAAATTTTTGCTGCTAAGACAGAAGAAAACCTAAGAGCTCAGTACACTCGCCTGCAGGGACAAGATAACCACTGTCCAACAATTCTGAATGAAATGACTTGTGGAACTGCAGGTCTGACAGGCACGGATTTTGAATTGACTTGTTAAATTGGGCGGCAGTTCGTGACTAAAAACCCAGTTAACGTCCTCTTAAAAATCAAGAAGCAGGCAAAAATAATTTGAGCAGCGGAGCTATCAGTCTGGTATATTTCAACAGGACAAATATTCACGGATGAATATAATTAAACCAAAAAGAAATAGAGAAGATTAAAATGGAACAGGTGCGATGAAGATTAATCTAATATCCTCCTTTGATAATATAAATTTTTGAAACAAAGGAACTGCACAGATCTGTCTGAGACTTCTAATATCAGTTTTGTGACCGGCCTTGCTTAACATTCTCCTTGCCAAATTTGACTCAGAAACCAGGAAGGTGTGAATAAAATTTGCGAATGGCAAAGACCGCAACACAGATTCACAGAAACGCAGAGTGGTCGGAGACCTCTGCAAATTATTTCATTCGTCCCGCTCCGCTGAGTGGGGACAAGCGTTGTCAAAATGCAGAAGAGTCTGGAATATCACCCTGGAATGACAGGGCGATTTGAGGAGGATGAAAAGAATTTAATGTAATATGCAAAATACAAGGTGATCCTCTTCAGGGTCAGTAATTGGTTTCCTCAATGACGATAGAGCAGCTGGAGGTTATGAAGCTGGAGAAATCATCTGTGTACAAGACACAATCTGACTCATGAACTCGGTCATCCGGTGGGTCGCAGATGACAACAGAGATGAGTTCCTCTTCCTTTTCACCCTGGACTTAGCTACCGACTTCCCTGAGCTTCTACTGGCAGTCATCTAACTCAGTAAATCCGAGTAAACCATATAAAGGTAAAATGGCCAAAAATCAACCCCACAAACAGTAAAGAAGGACTTGTGACCCGTATTAATTTACCAAACCAGATCAATATGAGACCAGATCAGCATCAATGCAGGACAAGGTAGACAGTGGGAGGACAGGGTTAGCTCAGGTATCACAAAGTTGCTGTCACAAGTCCCTGCAGAATAGTCATAGTTCCCAGTTTAGCGTGATTATGAAAAAGGTGAACATGGGGTTGTTCAGCCTGGAGAAGAGAAGGCTCCGGGGAGACCTTAGAGCCGCCTACTAGTACCCAAAGGGGCTACAGGAGAGTGGGGAAGGACTTTTTACTGGGGCATGGAGTGATAGGACGAGGGGGAATGGCTATAAACTGGAAAAGGGGAGATTTAGATTAGATATTGGGAAGAAATTTTTCACTTTGAGGGTGGTGATCCCCTGGGGCAGGTTGCCCCGAGAAGCTGTGGCTGCCCCATCCCTGGAGGTGTTCAAGGCCAGGTTGGACGGGGCTTGGAGCAACCTGGGCTGGGGGGAGGTGGCCCTGCCCAGGGCAGGGGGGAAATCGATGGTCTTTGAAGGTCCCTTCCAACCTAAACCATTCCATGATTCTATGACCTACTGACATGTAAGGAAAGGTATTGTTGATGAAGATTCAGAAAGAAAAAAAGAAAAAAAAACCCACCACAGTAGAAAGAAATCTGTGAAACAGGATTTTTCATTTGCATCAAAGATGTGCCAGCAAGAATTCACAGAATTTTCAGAGCTGGAAGGGACCTCCAGAGCTCACCCAGTCCCACTCCCCTGCTAAAGCAGGACTGCCCAGAGCACATCGCTCAGGACTGCATCCAGGCGGGTCTTGAAAACCTCCGGAGAAGGGACTCCCCCCCCCCCTGGGCAGCCTGTGCCAGCGCTCTGTCACCCCAACCGTAAAGAAGTTCTTCCCTCTGTTGGAACGGAACTTCCTCTGCTCCAACTTGTGCCCACTGCCCCTCGTCCTGTCACTGGGAACCCCCCAGAAGAGTCTGGCTCCATCCTCCTCCAACCCCCCCTGTAGATACGTGTGTGCCATAATAAGGTCTCCCCTCAGCCTTCTCCTCTCCAGGCTAAAGAGTCCCAGCGCTCTCAGCCTCTCCTCGTACGGGAGATGCTCCAATCCCTCAGTCACCTTGGTTGCCCTTCGCTGGACTCTCTCCAGCGGTTCCCTGTCCCTCTGGAACTGGGGAGCCCAAACCCGGACACAGTATTCCAGTTGTGGCCTCACCAGTGCCGACTACAGGGGGAGAATGACCTCCCTTGACCTACTGGTCACACTCTTCCCTACGCAGCCCAGGATTCCGTTGGCCTTTTTGGCAACGAGGGCACACTGCTGGCTCATGGACAATTTACTGTCTACCAGGACCCCTAGATCCTTCTCCTCAGAGCTACTTCCCAGCTCTGGGAATTCAGATAGGAACAGGCGAAAGGGAAGGCGATAAGATGATTAAGAGAACGGAGGGTCTTTCCAAACACGAGGTGTCAAAGGGGGCAGTGTTTTGCTTCTTTAGTTTAGTAAACAAAGCGAAAGTATGTTTGTCTATAAACAGACAGCTCCAGAGATCCCACATAACTGGAGCGCTGCCGTGCACGGCTACAAGCTCTTCAGGAGGGACCGGCGGGGCAGACAGCACGGGTGATGCCCCAACAGGACGTTGAACGTAGGTCAGGACGATGCCTTTGCAGAGTAAGGGCTGGCCGTCCGCTGGGCTGCCGCAGCGCAGCCAGCAGGTCCAGGGAAGCAATCCTTCCTCTCTATTCAGCACTTACAAGAGCTGTGTGCCCAGTTCGGGCGTCCCCAGTACAAGAAAGACACTAACGAGCACGTCAAGTGGAAGAGCAGCAAAATGAGTCAGGGGGCTGCAGGACATGACATGTGAAAGCAGGCTCAGAAGGTTGTGTTTGTTCAGGCTGGAAAAGAGGCGGCTCAGGAGAGGGGGACCTAATTCCTGTATTCAGCTTCCTGGAGGGGGGTTACAGGGCGTAAGGTCGGACTTCTCAGAGGCGCACAGCAAAAGGACGAGAGGCAACAGACACAAGTTGCGGTAAAAGAAATTCTGATAGAAGATAAGGAAAACAACTCTTCACAGCAGACAGTCGTACACTGGAAGAGACTGCCCACAGTGACCTCAGAATCTCCGTTTTTGGAAATTCAGAACTCAAGTGGACCGAGCCTGAGCAACCTCACACAACTTCAAAGGTTGCCCTGTTCTGCATGGAGGACCAAGCAGATGACCTCCAGAGGCCTCATCTAGCCGGAATGGTTCCATGATTCAAATACGTGGAGGAGAGAAAGAGTAGTTCCAATTAAGTTGAAGAGCAAGATCTAATAAAAAATTCCTCAGAAGAGGTTTAGCCTGGTCCTGGACTCCGGAAGTTCAGAGAACTTCTTTGTATCGGAACAGCACCGTTATACAACAGCATCCTAACGTCCGCAGAGAATAACAGAGACATGACATTCAATGAGCTTTCAGGACTTGGTATGTTTATGGACGGGATTCTGCAGGGTGACCGTCTGCAACATGAATCGACTCCAACTTCCAAGGGGACCTCAACATGTCCCTCCTTCACGACAGCTTTCTTTGGAGGAAAGAAATCACCACTTCCTTCCTGTTCTCACACTTCCCTTCCTCCCCTGCACCACTCAGTCTTCTGTTTGCACCGCTGTTCGTGTGACACACTCCCCAACTGGCACCAGTTACCTGTGTCTCGAGCAGAGGGTGTGACAAGGGCACTGCTGCAAAGGTCTTGTACGCTTGCTTGACATTGATGGGGACCTCGTCGGGAGAGGGTGGCGAAGGTGGCTTTTGCTACAAGGACAAAGACAGAAAGTAAAGATAACCACAGATGTTACAAAAAACCAAACATGGGGGAAACGCAGCACAACTCTGCAAAGCCCGAAGGGCGGAATACGTAAGGGAGAGCTCCTGCAGCTTGGGCAGAAACACCAGCAGCGGACCCTGTAGGTGCTCTATACGGCAGCACATGTATCGCAGCCCCATTTTATTTCTTGGATAGCGGAGGAAGGATGCTTCTGGTGGTACGGATCCTCACTGACTTGACCAGATCTTCTGCGACCGATCTCTTGGCCAAGGGGTCACATTGCTGCCACGGTCCTTAAGGATTTCCACCCAATTCAACTAGCACGTGCCTGCTCGAATCAGTGGGCTTTTGGGGTTGGAATGGGACAACTATACAGTTGACTCTGACCCCTACGTAGGACTGAAGAAGCCGCGTTTAGTTTATTAGAAAATTAAAGATTAGCCCTGGCCTTATCTGGCACTTCTGACTAAAGGGCTTTCTTCGTGGGAAGGGATCTATTAGTCTCATTTGTTTATAAAATGAAGACAGAAGGCAGGCTGTCCTCTACGTTAGAAAAAGGAATGGGATGCACTGATCGTGACTCTACTGGCGAGGAGTATGGGTCTTACCCAGGGCGTCCCGACCCATGCATAAAACAAGACCAGCCTTAGTTAAGGCATGTGATCTTTAAACCACAAAGCCACCGCTGGGAGAGCGCGTTCAGCCCACCCACCAGAAAAAGTGGCACCGTAGCAACGTAGGGCGGATGGGCAGAGCTTAGCGAGAAGGAACTGCAGGCCACTTACAGAGTTGTGGATATTGAAGGACAGCTCGGGTTGCTGGAAGGGATTGGGGCTGTCCCCGTCCTCCGAATTATGCGAGGCAGCATTTTGTCGCACTCGGGAAAGAGGCTGAATGACGCCTGGCTTGGTCTGCTTGCGTCAATACCACGCACCAGAGGGAAAAGGCAGAGGAAGAGAGGGGTTGGGGGAGAGAGAGAGAGAGAGAGAGAAGAGAAACGAGCAGTTAGGGCAGCAAGATGTCTCTGCCATGCGCGTAAGGCAAATCCATGCACCTGACTGCAATCCCTCAGCGGCGCTGCTGACTCCAGTTACCAGACTGGGAGGGAGAGGTACTGAAGCAAACACCAAGCAACGCCTCTGGTGCAAGTGTTTTGGACAGGCAAAGAGATTCAGACGAGTCAGGGTCTCGACAGGACCAACGGGTTACAGAGAAGGCCAGGACACGAGGAAGGATCTGCCAGACAAGTAGTCATAGCAAGGGTCAGAGGGGTATGGCACGCGTATGTCGAAGCCTGGAGAACGTAAGCGTCACGAGTGGAAGATGCAGGAGGGAAACAGCAGCCAGGAATGGGTATTGGCAAAAGCAGGGGATGAAAATGAACTGAAACCCAGCTAGGACTCCAATCAGAAACACAGACGTAAGAGTAGGGAGAAGAGTGTGAGATCTGACCTAGATGCCATCACTGTTGGACGCTGTGTGGAAGTGAACGAAACATCTAATACCAGCAAAAACTACGTGAGTGGAAGCTGCAAGGGTAAACAGGAATAAAAGCTGCAAAACCACTTGCATCGAATTTTCAAACTGACACTATTTAAGACAGTGCATTTGTACGAACTTGAGGTGTAGTGGAGGACTGAAGAAGACAGAGTACGAGGCAACAGTGGGACGTGCAGGGCTGGAAGCGAGCACACTCAGAAGGAAGAGGCAAGCTCTGTGCGCTGGAGAATGCATCGGGACAGTACCGTAAGGTCTCGTGGCGGGTGTACTTACTGATTTACTGTCATCCTGCGATGTAATGAAGTTAATGGAAGCCTGAAAACAGAAATACAGGCGTAAATTTGGAGCCCATCCAGGAAGCCTTCGGTTTACCCTGCTCCATACAAAAAGCAACACAGAACTCCCAGCCCCAAGCCCTCCCCTGCCCCGCCGCCCGCCCCGTACAGGGAAGAGCCCCCAGGTCCCATACTAATCCCCGCCATACCTTCTTCTTCACGTGAGGTGCAGTCCAGAGCCCACCCACAAGAGTCTCTCCCAGTTCCTCCGCTCCGGGAGAAGGCAATCCCAACTCTCCCCGCACATCTCCGGGCACTGACGCCCCGCTCTCCCCCTCCGCGCTGCAGCTCAGCCGGTCCTGTCCCTCGCTCACATCCCCGGCCCTCCGCACTCGCTACCCGAGCTCCAGCAAAGCCAGCAGCACCACAGCTTCTCTGCCAGGAAGCGTTCGCGGATGCCATCTCAGCAGTGGTTAGCGGGGAACAGCCTCTGGGTGCCTCAGCCTGCTGCCCTGGGCACCGCGCTCGGCAGCGAGCCCTCGGCGCGCAGTCAGCCCGAGAGCCGGGGAACGGGGAGCCGGAGGCCGGGGCGAGGAGCAGCGGTGCCGGGTGGGAGCAGCAGGGAGCAGAGCGCACACTGCACACCGACAGGCACTTACAAAGCGGGTCTCCCTGCCTGACAGGTGAGCGGGCCGAGGGGCTGCAGGCGTCTGGAGAGGGGCAACGCCAGGGAGGGTCGTCAGGGGAGAGAACGGGAGAGAAAACGAAGAGACCGGGTTTTCCGCGTGAGAGGCTGAGACAAGCACCTTTCCCAGCACAGAGACTGCAGATAGCCAGAGCTGTCGGCGTCCCCACGCAGCTCCTCGCTGCCCCCCGTGGAGAAAGCCCCTCTGCCCTCCGTGGCACGCACGCACAGACCCACCACAAACGCCTCCTTCCCCCCCCCGCCTGCGTCCTCCCCCCCCAGAAGCTTGCAGAACTCGAGGCCAGGCGAGACCGCCGTGACACACCAGCCTCTGGACAGAGGATCCCACTTCCCTCAGTAAGTCTCCGAGAGCTCCGAAATAAGCCTAGAAATTCTGCCTGGACTACAAGATCTCAAACCCAAAGAATTCACGTTAAAAATAGACGGCGGCAGAGAATTACAGAGGCAAATCCTTGGAACTTCTACTCTGGAGCAACAACCTGAAGGTGAGGTCTCCTGAATCCCCAGAAAATGTACAAGCCACAAGGCTAGCGATTGCCCCGTGTCCTTCAGTATTATCTGTCGGGCCTGTTCCATTTTGTATAACATTCACTGTTCAGAGAGAACCAAATCTACCAGACAGAGCCCTACCTGACATGCAGGAGGCTGCTGCGGAAGGCTCCGATTCAAAAAGTATTAAATCACGTAAACGTGAGAGAAAGCTCATGGACAGAACGCAGGGTGGAGAACGCCACGAGCAAGACTACCGGCTCAGCACTGCGACACCATGGCATCTTCAAGAACAACTGCCAGAGGCACTAGTTGGCAACAGCCGTAGACCAAGTAAGGAGAAAAGGCTATGCGAACGACACACGGACCAGATCTCAGAAATGCAAGCAGTGAGCAAACCTGCTGAAGACCTTAAAAGGCTAAAATAAAGGACAAAGTCATGAAATTGGCAGTAAACGCTTCAAGAAATTAATAGAATCTCTCATAGCATGAGCATCTCTGAACAGAGAGACAAAAGAGAAACCCAAGAAAAACGCTGTATAGATTATTCAGTGTGTTGCCCAAGCTACAGAGAATCCGTGACACAAAAGACCTGAAGTGACAGACTACAAGTTACAGCAAGTGCTACGTAGCGGGGAATTTGAGACATCCAACTTAAAAATGGAAAGGGAAATGTCCGCATCTGCAAAAACACTCCTGGGGTGTTCTTAACTCCACAGAATGCACTGGGGAGACCTTGTTTATTCTTCTCAGAGCCCAGGGAGGGGAGCGTGAACGGTTTCACCTGGAAAGTTTCCACTGTCAGCAGCGACTGTTATGAGAAGACAAAGCGGTCACTGCTGCCAAAGGAACTGGATAATGACAAACCATTAGACACTAATGACAAACAATTCATCATTGAGCAAGCCCATCCTGAGTTAGAAGAGCAGATGGCACCATAGCCAGAGGGTTGCCAGTGACAAGGACATTGGCACTGAGCCTCCGGTGCCAAGACACCGATAAACAAAAACATCCGGGCTACTACGAAAGTTGCCTATGACATATTGGAACACGGGACATTCCATCCAAATACAGTTTGAAAAAAAAAATAAATATCACAATGAGAGTAGTCAAATATTTGAGCCGGCATCTAGAAAGGTGTAGACTTTCACTCTCCAGAAGTGCTCAAAATTTAACTGGACATGGCCTTGAGTAACCTGATGTAATTGGACCTGCTCTGCTTAGACCAGACCTTCCATCCTAAAGCATTCCATGAGCAGGTACATGGCCACCCTTTGGGAACTGGGCTGCTTTTTCAACTGAGAGCTGAGGATCTTTGAAGACAGAGCAAATGAATACCTAGATCTCCTTCTACCATAGAATGAAGAGTATCATCCCCACCCCATTTCTTCTAGATAAAAAGAACCCAATCTCAAAGAAAACCTGCACTTGTGGTAAAAGGAAAACTTACAGGCAAACAGCCTAAAATAAACCTCCCATCGGCACCCAACTGCTGCCAGAAAAGCTAACAAGTACACATATGCAGCTGGAAGAGAAAGCATCGAAATAGCATTACTGTAACGAATAGTATCATTTTCTAATCTTATCGTGTCCCTGATGGTCACTCGACTTCAAAGGATCTAAGAACTGAGGGAGGTGCAAGGACCGAGGACAGGCCAAGGAAGCGACACAAGACGGACCGAACTGTTGCGCACTACAGCTCCACTGCCCGATCTGCTGCTCCAGCCACATGGTCCTGACCCTTCTCCCGAGCCAGTGTTAATTGTCACCTCAACCCAAGATGATGCAATTCATCTCAGTAAGCTGAACTAACCTAGCAAAAGAAGCAGACAGCTTTTGTCCGGCTTAGAGAACTGAAATGACTCAGCTAAAGATCAGGAAAGCGTCAGCGCTAGTGGGACCAACTAGTTGGAGAGCAGTCGCGCTCCCAAAGGAATGCAACGGACGCAAAACGACTAAAGATAGAGTACGAAGTACAATCTGCAGTTCATTCCACCCCCGTAATGTAAAAAACAAGAACATGTAATGACTGCGAAGGGAAGCTTTTAAAAAATCCACTGAAGAATATTGAACTTCAAAAGGCTCAACTAACTTGTGAAACCTACTGCCACGGGGTGAAAAGTGAAATCAAAGACTTAGCAAGATTGAAAAGAAGAGATCAGAGTCAAGAGGAGCAGTAAGAACGGCTAGCGAGAATAGGCAACGCTAACCAAAAAGTTACAAGAAATAAAGAAACTTCCCACTTCAGAGTGAAAGTGGCCTCTGACCAAAGAGCTTTAGAATACCTTTCCCTAAGGACCGGCTAACCTGCTGCAGGATCTTCCAGTTTTCTTCCAACCGGCTGATGTGGGTTGCCAGCAGCGTCACAAAGAGAACTAGGAGATTCCATCTGGGAGACGGAATAGCACTAGTTTACGGACCTGAGACGATTCCCCAAATCCTGACTTCTCCATTTCTTCTGACATACCAATTGCCAGAATTAAACGGTCTCTGTAGAAGGCGTTGGTGAGGCCATTCTCAAAAAACACACGCAACTACCATTTCGTAGTCACTCCAGGTCCTGCCCTGCTCATTCCCCTGTGAATTAAGTTACCCCTCAGAGCAGTAACTTTCCACTAAGTGTACGCCTAGCGAGTTATACCTCCGGGTCTCTGAGAGGTTTTGAAAGAGCAGCGTTCTTCCCCTCGTTCTCTAGTCGCCTCCTGTGCTGGATACCCCTCCACCTCAAAGGCATTGCTTCAAGGATGACAATCATACTCGGCTTCCTCTGCCCTTCTACCCCGGCGGCCCCTTGCCTCCCTGCCTGTCCCCGCATCGCCCGTCCTGGGGACAGTCTCACCTGCTGATTACCAGGAGAATAGGGGGTTTCGCGCCTGGAATTTCCTGTCCCAGACTCGCCCGAAGGAGCCTGAAAGAGAGAAGACAAAGCTAGACAGTTACTGTACAGCGGCAACTTCCACGTCTCTCCCTTCGCAGTGAGACCAGGAGACGAGGGAGACCACCGACACCCAGCTCGAGGCCAACTACGGGCCACCTCACCGCGAGAGAGCGGAGTTAGCATTGCGCCCAACAGCAGCTGTCACATGGCAGAGACTTGCAACAAGCGCTAGAAACAGCAAGGGAACGACATTAAACATCGGAACCCAGACCATATCCTCATGCCCTGCAAGGCCAACTCACTCCGGTTAAAGCCTTCTGCCTTGGAAGACATCCCCAGGAACCCTCTCCCCCTCCCTCCTCTTTAGCCCTCACCAGCCCGAGCCACAGTCCTGGCACACTTGTGCTATAGACACGGAGCAAAAAAAAACCCACTCCCAACCGAAAGGAGGCGAGATTCACCCCAGCCACCTCCATTGCTGTTGGCCTACTGGTAACACCTTTACGAGCAGCCCGGAGCGCGGAAAGGACAGGGCTCTCGCCCCTTCCACGGGAACCTGCGATCACCACCGCTCAGGCCGAGCCAGCCTACAGCCGGCCCCGACAGCTACGAGAGCGCAGAGTCCCGGTAATTACCTGCAGCCTGTCCACAGGATTAATGAGCGCGATTTAAAAAGTATTTTAGACGCCTAAAGATGGAAACAGGTCATTTGGGATTGAGAGAACCGTTTAAGCAAATCTAGGGTTCGGCAATCATTAATACCGTACCCATGCACGAGTGAATCACGTTAATTTGGTCCAAGTCAGCCTCGGACAATGGTATTTCTACTGACCGAGGCCGGATGACCTGAAGTTTATACTGGAGCACAGAAAACATCTGATCCTTCTTAGCGCTGTAATGACAGAGAACGTGGCAGTGGCAACTGATCTGCTTCCACGCCCCCACCGCGAAGGGTGTCCGTGCTCCCCCTGCCTCTGGCTACCGCTATCCACGTCATCCCGCGTGCTGGCACGCGCAGTTCATCGATCCCCAAAGGAAGGAGATGTCCTAAGCTACTGGTTTTCAGGGACTTCAGCTCCCTAACCCAGCTGACACACCACTGCTCCAGTTCTGGTGTCAGCATGGGGAACGTGCAGAGAGGGGGAACCGATCCCTTTTGACAGCAGCCCGGAACCGGATTAGCTCCGGCTAACTGCGACACCCACCGCCAGACTGACGACAGCTCAGCTGGCATGAAGTCTACCGTCAAAAGGGGTCGGTGCTTTGTGACCACTGCTTTCTTGATCTTCTGAACGCTAGAGCTGGATGTCTATAATCTCCAAACCACAGCCTTCGACTTTTAATATACCGAGATGTTACAGAGACTCAACTACGTGCCTCGCTCTATGCGTATCTGCCTACACATCCGTGAAAACCAAATTCTCACCAAGGAACCAGGCTCCTAAAAACGTCTACAAGAACTACAGCTGGGCGTTGGTTGGTTTGTTTGCAGTCTTTTGCTTCTCTTGCTTTTCAGACATCCAGAAAGGCTGAGAAAGGACGAAGGGAGGAGGGGAGCGGTGCTAATCTGGAACATAACATCTTTGGGTCTAGTCCTTGCTCTGCCACAGGTTTCCCGTGCAAGAGTGAAGAAGTTAAATACAAACAGATTTCCCGGAGCAGAAAGCAAAGTCCTCCCTTGAAATCTGAAAGTCTAGATATACCGAAAGGTGTCACTTCAAGGAACGGTGTGCCCCTGGCCTGCAGGCTGACCGTGGCAGCTGCACTGCCTCTTATTTTTCACAAGTCTAAAAACGGCTGTGTTTGTTCGGGCCCAGATACGCAAGTGTGACACCACCACCGTTCTCCTACAAGCCCTGCCAGCTCCCCGCCGCCCACCACAGCAGACAGGGAACGCCGCTGCTCCTGGCCTGACTCTTGCCCTCCCGCAGAGACATGGGGCACGTGGCCTGACACCCCCTCCTCCCCTCCGCGGGGCTCGACGCGTGGCGGTAACCGGGGAACGTTAGTGGCTGGAGGACAATTCGCTGACCGTCGGCGACCGACAGCCTCTGCGCGCAGGGCTGGAGGAGGACACGTGTTAGGTGGGACCGGCCCCCGCGCAGGCCTCGTGCTGCCTGCCATCCGGGCCCAGAGCATGCGCAGGGGTTTAGTAGGACGCGGGTGGCCTTAACTGGGTGACTGCGTGCCGCACACAGCATGCCGCGGGACTGCTTGCCTTGGAGTAAAGGTTGGTCTTCAGCACTCCCCCCCTGCCGTAGCCCAGGGGCGGCCCCCCCAGGCAAGCCTTGCCTGCGGCCTTGCCCCTGCGGTTAGCCACCACAAAGGGGTTCTCGCTGAAGAGGATGGGCTGGGAGTCGATCATGCACTCTTGCTCTGGCGTCTCTGGCATCTGGTCCCGGGACAAGGGGCAACCCGCGGGATCCTGCTCGTCCAGCCGGGGCTTTTCTGCCCCGCTGGCGCGCTCGTCGGGTGACGCGGGGTCCTGAGGACGGCCAGCCACGCTTCCGACGATCGGGCCGGCGGCTGTGTCGGGGTACGAGTCCCGGCTGTCCTGTGCCACTGGCAGAGACAGCAGAGCGCAGTCGCCCTCCATTCTGGAGCTGGCCTTATTATACTGAACAAGCTGAGAGGAAAACAAAAGGATCAGAAAGAAATAAGGAGAACAGAGCAAAGGAGAGGAGGGAGAAAATACAGAGCAGCTGCTGAGGCTGAAGGACAGGGGGGAGAAGAATTCGAGTACTAATGGCCACACAACCACCCCTTCCCTCTCTTCTTCTCTACCACCAGTCTTGTGATCATCCCAAATGCTACTTCCAAGAGAGGACCTTGCTGTCAGTGTGCAACACGTACACCCACAGGCACAGGCGCGCTCCCCGCGCTTTTCCAGCTCCCATTCACATTCCAGCCCACACCTCACCACAGCTCACCAGTAACACTGCTGCTCTCCAGCAAAACTGACTGCCAAAACCCACACAGGCACGCATCCTCTCCCATCTCGCTGAAGCACATCCTCAAGTCAACTCCACCACCACACGGCCAAACAGCAACCGTCTCACCCCAGCACGCTCTCGAATACTTCCAACACTGTCAGGAACAAGAACACCTCCCACCTCGCTCCAGTGCATGTCCATACGGTTACACGTTTATCACCATATCGTCTGCCCCACGCAGTTCCATCACACCTGCATGGGCAAACGTGCTTTTATGGCCCCACTTCATCAGAATAGTGTCATAGAATGGTTTAGGTTGGAAGGGACCTTGAAGATCATCGAGTTCCAACCCCCTGCCCTGGGCAGGGACACCTCCCACCAGCCCAGGTTGCCCAAGGCCACCTCCAGCCTGGCCTTGAACACCTCCAGGGATGAGGCCTCAACAACCTCTCTGGGCAACCTGGGCCAGTGCCTCACCACCCTCAAAGAGAAAAATTTCTTCCTAATATTCAATCTAAATCTACCTTCTTCCAGTTTGAAGCCATTCCCCCTCGTCCTGTCACTCCACGCCCCAGTAAAAAGTCCCTCCCCAGCTCTCCTGGAGCCCCTTTAGGGACTGGAAGGCTGCAATAAGGTCTCCCCAGAGCCTTCTCTTCTCCAGGCTGAACAACCCCAACTCCCTCAGCCTCTCCTCACAGCAGAAGTGCTCCAGCTTTCTGATAAAATACACGCCAACAAGTAACAGAGCGCTAAATAACAGCTAACAGAGCACAGAGCCCTTTGAGCGCTCTTACTGAAGGCAGGACCGAAACAGAGCCCCAGTTCTGCCTAAGCTCAACTGTACCCATCCAAGATGAAGCACTGACCTTTCCTCTTTTAATAATACAAAAGAGAGTTTGTTACCCCAGCCAAAGCCTTCTTTCAGGGGAGCAGAGACAAGCAGAGAGCAACGATCAAACCGCCTTCTATCCAAGTGCCTGCCGGGGAGCAGAAAGACCTCTTCTGCTCAGAGCACATTCTCCAACTCCCGTGTCATGGCAGCAGTCACAAAAATAGCTCTCAAGGGCTGGGTGGGCTAGTGACTACAATGGCAGCTGAGAGGCTCAGGAATTTCTGAGGCCCTCCCCTAACCCCCTCAACCCCAACCCAACCCAAAGCAGCGGTTGGCAGAGCTCTGGCTCCTATCATATTTCTTCAGACAGCCTGTTCTACCCTTCGAAATTTCGCTATTGTTGCTACGTGAAAGAGCGATGTAAAAAAACCCTACCAAAAAAAAACTCAAAGAAGAAAACCCCACATTCCGACCTTCTTTTCCCAGAGTGCGATAAACTGCAAGAGCTCCACTGCACATAAACTTACGCTGGGCAAAAAAAATACTTTCCGGAACAGTATTCGTTCGATGGGAACGCTGTAAGGAAAACCCTGCCAGCAGTCCACCACCACCCAGTGGGTTTGTGGGTCCCACAGCCAGGCCCCTCCGACACCAGTGCTGCTTTCCCTCGCCAGGCAGAAGAGCACAAACACTGACCAAGCCGCCTTCCAGGTGAATCCCACCACCACCAAGGCTCACTCTGCTTCGCGCAAAGGGAAAAAGCGATCGACACTTTGGGGGCACTGCGGAGATGGGCGTCCCACCAAGACCGCGTGAAGCCTGAGAGTCCGTGGGAAGCCTCAACGCCTGTTTTGTTCATGGACGTGACTGGGACTGAGCTTCACCCATCCCTCGCTTTAATCTCCAGCGCCGCTGCTGTAGCAGCGTGTCCCAGCGCAGGGCGCCTCACTCCCTCTGCTTCACAGTGGGCTATTTTTATCAGACAAGCAACGATTTCTATTTGGGGAAAGCAAAGATTTTGGCAATGCAGTGTGCTTTTCCCAGCCTTGCCTCTGTCACTCCTCTGTCCAACGGACGGGACAATCGTGTTCCACCCTGAGCCCTCCAAGGCAAATACACACCGAATGCATTTGCAGTTCTGATCCATCGCTTTGCCCCAGACACCGAAACGAACCTAATTTTAAATCTAACGGACGAGCACAGAGAAAGACGCAATGGCTAGAAATTGAAGAGAAATAGATTCAGGCTAGAAAGTACAGATGGTTAATTAACTAACCATGGTGACACCCTACTGGGAGATGCAAAGTCTTCACCATTTCTTAGTGTCCAGAAAGCAGAACTAGATTTTAAATGTTTTGCTGTGGCTAGATGCAGTCCTTCATGGGTACGGCTTTCAAGCCTGTCCTATGCAGAAGGCAGAGACTATAACAGCTCTTTTATTACTGCGATGGCAGTAATAAAAGAGCTGCAGACCCTGCAGACGCCGGTTACCGAGATGCTGGCACAGCCGCAGGGCGTCACCGAGATGGCGTTCTCATGCAGCTTTCCAACGGAATTTTTCAGCTGGGGTTTTAAAAGTACCCAAACGAAACAGGCTGACATCTCGGCAAGCCTGCGTTAAAGCTCGGTCACCGAAGGACCAACACACAGGAATACAGACGAACGCAAGATGCACTGCCACCTGCCCCCTTCTTTAGGGACAACTCTTGGGGAATCCTCATGACAAATTCCACCCGCAATCTACAGCGGTCACGACAAGAGGTCTGCACCTCCTCCTCTTCACCAGTGTGAAGGACACCAGACCCTGCAACTGCCTCGCAGGGAACGATATGGGAAGAAAAGACGTGTAGACACTGTTTGGAGGAGAACGTAGGTGGTGGGAAAGTTGGCCTAGAGACAGGAAGAAAGAAAAAAATACTACGGGAAATGGGCAATGGCATTGCCAGGTAATCTTAATCCAGTCAGAATGTCCGGAGATAGACAACCTGTTAACTGAACCGCGAGCTTTTCTGCCGGACGGATGGATCCGTGTCCGAGTCTTCCGGGCAGTCACCAAACAGGCTCGGTGCAGCTCCCGAAGGAAGGCCAGAACCTCGCTGTCCTTCAGCCCACATCTCCCCGTACTCACGATCTAGGCAGACATATTTTTTTTTTTCAAACAGAGGAAAGACGGGGCTGAGCAGAAGACAGCTGGAAAAAGATAAACACGGGCACCAATTGGCCCTTCCCCTGGAACAGGACATTTATAGATGCCGCCCACTCGCCCCGGCATTCCCGCGTGTTCGGCCCCGCATTCCGGTGCCAGGCATTCCCGAGCCGACACCGACTGCTGAGCCACAACTTCCCAACCGCTGCTCCGCTCTGGATGACACAAGGGCTGTCCAGCAAAGAGGCAGCTGCTTGCACGGGGCTGGCTCTCCCCTTGTTCCCAGCTACTGAGTTACACTAAGAGATGCTAAAAATACATTAAACCTTTTCCTGATAATACTCTTCTGTGTGAACAGCCGGGAGAGAAAACGCAAAAGCTGGGGAGGATGGGGAGGAACAAAATGAGACAAAGCTGGGGACACAGCAGGGCTCTAATCAGTGTGAAAGCAGAAAAGCGAGAGGGCTCGAAGTCAACGAGAGGATAGATGAAAAGGAGAGGAGACCTGTCTGGGTGGTGAGATGGAGACAGCAGAGGTAAAAGAGAAGAGTCCTGAAACAAAGCAATGGGAATGCAGAATCCGATGATGACAGCAAAGGGTGGTCTGACGGCAGGAGGAGGACAGGAACGGAGGTGAAGACTGAGAACGTGTGTGAAGGAGCAGGCAGAAACCCAGAGCAACGGGTATGATGCAAAGAAGATAAATCATGAGCAAATGAAGTGAAGATAGAGAGGTGAGGTGAGATTTTAAACAACACAGGAGAGACAGACGACTTTGCAATCTCTGGAGTTTGTGAAATCTGGATTTTCTCTTGGCTAAGGTGCCACTACCTATCAGGGACTGACACGCAGGTCACAGGGGCAGGAGTACCCAAGACTGTATCGGGGCTAAGCCATGAGATGCAATCACTGCCACTCTGCCTTTTGCAGTCCCAGGTGGATCTTGACTTTAATACTTTTGGTATCAGCACCCGGCATCCCTCTTCCGTTCTAAACACCATCCCACAATGAATTTGCAGCTCAGCTGCGCACACAACATTGTCACCTCCTGTGTCAGGAAGATTCTTCCCCTCCCTCCTCTGAAGCTTTCAGCAGTTGTCTCCTTCCACGACAAATCCCCTGCGCTCTCCCATTCTCATCTGTCCTTCTCTCCTGCTGGGCTCTCCCTTCTGCCTTGTTCGAGACAATCCCTTTTGCGCCTCGGCGATTACACAGGCCACTTCCCCTTCCAAAATGGAGGCTCTCTGCTCTCCTCATTTTCCTTTTCTAATCTTTCTTTTGTGGCTACCTCCTGTTTCGGAGAGTGTCAGAGTCTACCACAGTTCTGCTTCCCAGTTTTCCTCTGCAGAGAGTACCACCGTCTCTCACATCGGGGCACAAGGAGCGGCAGGTAAGAGAACGACCGCGGCTTTCCCCCGCGCAGGGACCCACACCGCAACACCCCCTCACTTACAGCGCGATTGCCTCTCTGTAAGCCACTGCTGGGCAACGCAGCCAGGGTCCGATAGTCCAGCCTCAGCGGTTCACTGGTGACGTTCTGGAGAGGGGCAAGGGGGGGAGCAAAAAAAACACAAACACCAGGAAGACATCAGGCCACAAGTCAACTAAATCGACCAGAAAGAGCAATTAAAAGGAAACCACCCCTCGTAACGACCAAACTCTGCAGAAAGTTCCCATTGCCCGGAAATGAATCCGGAATTGCTCCAAACGCAACCCTGCGGACCCGTGACGGAGGCCACGCTCGAGATGTACTGGAGAGCACGTGTCACTCTGGGCCCCGGTCACCCACCGGCGCGCAGATCCCCACCACTCCTCCTGCCCCCCCGTGCAGACCTCCGCTCCCTCCGAGGGGGAGAGCAGAACGTGACATACATACCAGTTTGCTCCAAATAGCGCCCAGAAAGGCTTCCAGCCTGGATTTAGAGACATTTCAGAGTGCAAATCTGCAACTCCTCTACAGTATCTTTTCTCACCCTTAACTCACACTCATTGTGTAATTTCCTTCGCTTTCACTTCCCATTTGCTTTTTTCTGCCTTTCTAACCCTAGCCGTTATTTTTCACCGTTCCTTCCTCAATCACGTTATAGATTTCTTCATTTCTGGTATCTTGCCTTATACCAAAAGTCAAGTTTTTTGGGGGGGAGGGAGCGGAGAACAGAAGTTATGGGGAACGAGCGCTTGTAGCGATTTCTCCGGCCTCCGAGTCCAGCCGCGGCCCTTTTCTGCAACTCTCCATCCCTCCCGCTGTGCTCCTCACCTCTGCCTCCTCCTCCTCAAGTTGCTGCGTGGCTGCCTCCAGCTAGGTGAGCACCGTGTTGGGCAGTAAGTCCGGAGGGGGACAGAGGAGCGTGAGCAGCGCCGGCGCCAGGAGAGGGAGGGCAGAAACCCAGCGCGTACGCTGGGCCCGGGGGAAAGAGGAGCCGGAATTCTGCGTGAGCTCAGTTATCGCCAGCAGAACAGACGGGAACGGACACCCCGTACAACACAAGCCGGGGTGTCACCAGATGTCTCTAAGATCCTCGGCAGGGTCAATCCTGGGGAGAAGCACTGGCAGGGAAAGCCCCCCCCCTCCCCCAGGCACAAGCTACGCCATCCCCGAGGGCGAGGAAAAGACTGCGTATTGCTAGAAGAGACATCTTGACAGAGCGCAGGCTGGAAGGGAATGGGAAAACAAATCTCCAGAGCACGGCCCTAGTTGTCACTAAGGAAAAAGACCTAAAACCATCACATGCTCCTTAACAGCATCACAGCCCAAAGACTACAGATGGAGACAGAAACTGCGTAAGCACAAGGCCGGGCGTAATGCCAGCTGGTCGGCTCTCCGTCATTCAAGCGCAGCACAGGAGTATTGTTAAGAGTGACCAGTGACCAATCTCACAAGCCCCAGCTACGGGCTTGCTTCCGAGCTGCAAGAAGAAAGTAATAATATGTTACTTGTCCTTAAGAACGACTTCTGTGCGTTTACACTTTTGTGACCTTTTGCCCAGCACCTATGCTGCAGAGGGAGGGCTGTGGACAAAAGCAGCATCGTTCTTCGGTTCTATCGCGTATTGCAACCCGCCCGACTGCTCCTCCCAAACAGCAGCAACCAGGCGGTCCAGAAGTCCCGAGGGTGGAAGGATGGGAGGTGGAAGGCATCTGAGAAACACAGAGGGAGCTAACTGAAAATTCTGGTACGCACCTAGGCCCTTTGCTTCAAAAGCTTCTGTGCATTACCCTAGCAAATAATCAGTGTCCCACATCGCACCCCCGATCTCCAGAAAATAATGAGCGACATGAGAAGACACTAATGCTCCGGAAGATCAGAAAATCCAAAGGGATATTTAGGGGTACTTAAGCTAAAGTCTGTTCTGAATCTGGTTATGCTTATTTTGGACAAGTGTTATCCGCAAGGTAAGTGTTCACGCTGACAGTAATCTCGTATGTGATCCTTCTCCGAGGTCTTACAGCGAAGAGAGACGAGTGCGCCAGCCAGCCCAGATGGAGCTGTGGAATGTTCAAAGTTCATCTCCGACAACATCTGGGGAGCCTGGGGAAGCTCTGGATTACGACTAGAAAAATAACTACAGCTACGGAGTTGGGACAGAGAAACGCACCATGAGTCAGTCCGTGGAGATCTCAAGTTACTAATACTGCTGCTAGAAACCAAATTACCACAGAACTGAACTTGAGAGATGTACGCAGGGAGGGCAACAGCGGTATCTGAAAACCTCTACAGGACTAACGGTAAGTATAGTAAAGCCAAAATCCTTCCCATTTCTTCCATTCACAACCTTACTGCAAGGAGACATGTTTGATCTCTATCACTCTTGCGCAAAACTGAACATGAAAAAACAAAGTGTTCGAGGGAAAGTCCCAACAACGGTGACACAAATAGTATTTCTAAGGGTCTGGCACTGAGGTGGGAACTTCCTACAGCATTACCACGGCTACCATCCAGTGCTGGCTCCATCACTGGTAGAAATTTAACCATCGAAACCAGTATTAGAGACAGAAACCCAGTTTCAAGGTCACGCTAAAAGGCAACAGCAGAAAAATGTGTCTTTGCTGTTGGGTCTCAGGGCACGGATCCCGAGATGCCAGAGGAGCCTGCAGCATCCATCGCTACCTCCTCCTAGTGCCCTAATGGAAGGGGCACCACAAAATATGAAATCTTTTAAAGGCACAGGCAATTCTGGAGGGGAGTCTTGGTCTCTGCCGGTCATCCAGCTACGGGCATACTTCTCAGGTCTTCAGAGGTTGGGACAGACAACGCTGTAATTACACTAAGCCAGACTATAGTGAGAGAAAAGGCAGTATACGAGAATACAGACCTTAGAAGTCCTTAAATACGTGTCACTGCAACCTTGGAATATTGCTTTAAAATCTAGCAAAAGTAAAATATCCAAGAAAGATGAACCACAATTACTGTGTATTGTTCAGCCTCCAGGAATAATAAGGAAATTTGTTATAAGATGCCCGCCATTGTCTCGAAATATTGCTGATGGCTGAATGACTAGTTATGGCAAAGGTTTTTTTCTTTTAAATTAACCATTTTAATAAAATGTCAAGTTCGAGTTTTCCGTTATAAAGCTATCGTAATACCATCAGCACTTTTAAAAATGAGATATGGCCAAGGCTACAACACCAATCATAAAGGTGGTTCTGGTTTTTGACAAATCTCTGGGGTATTTTTAAGTAATCTCAGTATAAATTTTGGAAAAGCCTTTATCTACCCAAGACTGAGCTACTGCAATCTGCTCAGACAGGGCAGAATGGTTTTGGGGCCAGACTTGCTCTACGCTTTATCCAGAGGTGTCAGACATGCTGATGATGACTTACAGTACCTGAAGTCTCCTTGAGCGTTCAAATCCATACGCTACCAACACAAAACCGATAGCAATACCCTTTGCTGTAACAGTAACACCACAAAATCAGGTTTTCTGAAACCACAACAAGTCACTCTCAATTCCTTCCTAGGAAAGGAATAATACGCTTTACAGGAGAAACCTAAATCTGATCTAAATTGGCTCTGCTGCGAGCTGAACCAAGTGACCAGTAGCGGTCCCTTCCTACCCAAACTACTCATAGAATCACAGAATGTTTAGGTTCGAGGGACCTTTAAAGGCCATCCAGTCCATCCCCCTGTAAAGAGCAGGGACATCTTCAACCAGACGAGGCTGAAAATTATTCTCTAAGGTCATTCCGCTGGGAGAATTCCCATCTAAGTATATATATATATATATTCATAAAATCGTACCCTGCACAGCCCATTGCGGTCGCGGACAGAAAGGTCCTACAGCTGTTTTCTTGTTCATTCCTCCGTCCTCTCACAGTCTGTGCCATTGTCTAGTCACAACCTTGACCGTTTTTTTTTCCAAACCAAATAGTTTAATTAACGCTTGAGATTTTACAAAGATCACCTCCATCCAGAATTGCCAATATAACCACACGCTTGTCAGGTAGCAAATGTAAGAAAAAGCTGAGTGAGTACAACTATGGAAAGAACCTAGAGAAATACCAGGTATTGTATTGGAAACCCAAAGAAACACCTGCAAAATGTACACGTACTTATCTGCCAGGAGAGCAGATTCCTAATTGACAATACGGAAGAATTCAATTTTCCCTCATCTTCCAAAAGAATCTGACTCAATAAATCCGTTTTAAGAGGGATAACTAGAAAACCCAAGTCCTCGAGGGGCCTGGCTCTGCTAATCTGGTTCTGCGGAAGGCTGAAATAGTAGGCAGAAATACAAAAATCTCATAACGAATCAGAAAAATGATCATGTGAACGGAAGAGCACAAACTTGTGATTCATTAACAGTGCCACGTCTTCAATTCAGGGCAACTTTGAGCTGTGTGTTCTCATCTTTGCTCATAAAAGCTCTGCCAGGTCATGGAGTGCTGTACAGAGAGAACTGATTCAATGTGGGAGACTTCATCGGCCGTTTTTCTCAAAGTTGCAGCTTGGCCGAAAAGTACCAGCAGGTAACAAAGACGAACTCGGTAAATAACAGAAGAGTACCGCCCAAGAGGTACACAGGAAGGTATGGCAAAGCCAAGAAGCAGCTAGAGTTCCTGAGCGGAGCGCTACGAAGAGAGAAGGCCCAAAGCCCCCCATGGCACTAACAACTGGGAAGAGATAATCTGTGGCGTTCTCCTCAGGGCTCACGGGTTTGGCAGAACCGCCGTCAAGAACAGATTCTGCTACATGAAAAATCTCTCACCACTTTCTCCATTTCTTCTCTCTCCCACTGAGTTGCTTCTCTCACCATTTCCATCTCCTAGGAGAGACCAAAGTTAGAGCCACTTCACCCACTGCTCTCTCCCCGCTCGGAGCACCTCTAACCTCGTCAAGATTTCAGAGTCCCGTCCTAACGCATTCCTGACGACAGCGCTGGGACCTGCCGATCCCATAAAAAGGAAGTCCGCTACCCATTACGTTGCAGATTCCATGCACCGTGGGAGATTAGATATTTTCAGAAACTTTTTTCCACTCCGTAACATTCTCCCAGCTGTAGCCAGAACACCCACCTTCTGTAGGATCTCCAGTTCTTCAGGGCTTAAATCCCGATCAATAGAAGAGATACTTTCCAGGCTGTTCTTGCGCCCAATACCAGCTGCGAAAGGGTTTGCGATAATTCCTGGGGACATCTACAAAGCAAAAAGGCAATAAAACATGGTGGAAGCCCACGGTGTGCCATGCAAAACACTTCCATATCCTGAGCTCCCAAATACGGAGTACCAAGATGACGCTAGGCAAGTCGGAACTCTTTCACAACTTGAAACCTTATTTCAGCTCTCGATTACTCAAGGAACTTGAGGTCTAAGAAAGATGAATTTAACTTTCAACAGTAACAGAAAGAGGATAAGGTGACCGGGGATTGGGGACGTATTCTAGTGGAGAATAAAAACGCTTACTTGCTAAGCGTTGAAGAAAGACAGCTGAGAAGGCGCAGGATTGCTATGGGTTAAATGTTTCTCTGGGGGGAAAGGCGAACACTGATAAACAGACAATTACTTCAAGTACAACACTGGCACGAGGCAAAAAACCAGGCAGAGAAAATTAGCTTGAAAACTACATTACTAACCAGCGCGGTGATATTGTGAAACAGTTCTGCAATCAGCAGAAGAGAGACAGAATCACAGAATCACAGACTGGTCAGGGTTGGAAGGGACCTCTGGAGATCATCCAGTCCAACCCCCCCTGCCAGAGCAGGGGCACCTACAGCACGTTGCACAGGACGGCGTCCAGGCGGGTTTGGGATGTCTCCAGAGTGGGAGACTCCCCCACCTCTCTGGGCAGCCTGTGCCAGTGCTCCACTACCCTCAAAGTAAAGAAGTTCCTTCTCATGTTAAGATGGAACTTCCTATGTTCAAGTTTATGCCCATTACCCCTCGTCCTATCACTGGGCACCACTGAAAAAAGACTGCTCCCATCCCCCTGGCATCCTCCCGTTAAGTATTTGTAACTATTAATAAGATCCCCCCTCAATCTTCTTTTCTCTAGACTAAAGAGTCCCAAGTCCCTCAGCCTTTCCTCATAAGAAAGGTGCTCCAGTCCCCTCATTATCTTCGTTGCCCTTTGCTGGACCCTCTCCAGCAGTTCCCTGTCTTTCTTGAACTGGGGAGCCCAGAACTGGACGCAGTACTCCAGATGCGGTCTCACCAGGGCAGAGTAGAGGGGGATCAGACTTAGAGAGACTACTGCTTCTACGAACTGGTAACCACCTCCAGTTCGTATAGCAGGAGACCAGACAGCAGAAGGTCGGAAAAATCCAGCAATCTTCTATGAAGGAAGAGGTGGGATCCTCGTGGTACTGGTCGCCACTTCAGTTCTCACCTCAATGGCAGCTGCAGCCTTGGGATCAAAGCCATCGCACACCAGCACAAGGAGCGCGTCACCCACACTTCGGAGTATCTGTACCGCTTCCGTATGCGTCATTCCCAGCAAACTCTGATGATTCACCTCCAGGATCCGCATTCCCACCTTCAGACGGCCATCCCGGGCCGCAGCCCCGGAGGAGCTCACCTGTAACAAATGGGGAGAATCAAGATATCACCTACGGAGGTACGAGAAGATTAGAGAGCCCGGGGACCTTCGGGAAGAAGGAATGAGAGAGGACAGCATACAAAGGAAACAGGGAGAAAAGGCTGCGGCTACATGTCAGGGAAAGCGCCTGGAAGTACTGAGATATACTTACGGAGAGGGTAGAAAAGGAAGAAGGTGCACAGTTTGGTAGAGGAAACAGGTGTGGAAGGTATCTCTTACAGGAGATAAAAAGAATCTCTATTTGAAATGTGTTATCCCAAGGAAAGAAACTGCTTTTGTTTCGTCAACGAAGCAGGTGAGAAAGAAAGCTCTCGCCTCTACGCTTTATCTTCACAGAAAGGAAAGCGTAATAACTTTTTGTTGGGAGAGAGACAGAAAACGGGAGCATAGGGATCATTTTTGTGGAGAAAGATAAATGAGGCACAAAGACTTTCACTGTCTTTTTGGCAGAGACAGGCATCATCAATCACGCATGTCTGTCATTTTCCATCCTCTCGATCAGAGAAATAACGTCCAACTCCTATTTTCTTTCTTCGGCGAGTCACAAGAACTTATACTTGCCTCATGTACACAGGCTGTCACCGGGGGAAGCACTGGGAGAGGGAGAGGGAGAGGGAGAGGAGAGGGAGAGGGAGGAGAGGAG